GCGCATAGCCTGTGGCCTCCAAGGTGTAGAACGAGCTCGAGTCAGGCCAGTGAGTGCGGTCTGATGGGGAGAAGAAAAGAAAGAGTAAATATATATATATACATACGGTGAAGCCCGAAATTATTCATACCCCTGGCAAATTTTGACTTAAAGTTATTTTTATTCAACCAGCAATTTTTTTGACCGGAAATGACACAGGCATCTCCCAGAAGATAATAAGACGAAGTACAAGAGGCATCATTGTGGAAAAAAAATATTTCTCAGCTTTTATTTACATTTGAACAAAAAGTGGAATGTCCAAAATTATTCATACCCTTCTCAATAATCAATAGAAAAGCCTTTATTGGCTATTACAGCCATCAAACGCTTCCTATAATTGCTGACCAGCTTTTTGCATGTCTCCACTGGTATTTTTGCCCATTCATCTTTAGCGATGAGCTCCAACTCTTTCAGATTGGAGGGTCTCCTTGCCATCACCCTGATCTTTAGCTCCCTCCACAGATTCTCAATAGGATTCAAGTCAGGACTCTGGCTGGGCCACTTTAAACGTTTATGTTTTGGTCCGCTAACCATTTCTTCACCACTTTTGCTGTATGTTTTGGGTTGTTGTCGTGCTGAAATGTCCACTGGTGCCCAAGGCCAAGTTTCTCTGCAGACTGCCTGATGTTGTTGTTGAGAATCTTGATGTATTGCTCTTTTTTCATGGTGCCGTTTATTGTGATTAGGTTCCCTGGTCCACTGGCTGAGAAACACCCCCAAATCATTAGGTTCCCACCACCATGTTTGACAGTGGGGATGGTGTTTTTAGGGTCGAAGTATTCTCCTTTTTTACGCCAAATGAAGGATACATCACTGTGGCCAAACAATTCAATTTTTTGTTTCATCTGACCATAAAACAGAAGACCAGAAGTCGTCTTCTTTGTCCAGATGAGCATTTGCAAAGGCCAAGCAGGCTTTTGTGTGCCTTTTCTGGAGAAATGGTGTCCTCCTTGGTCTGCGTCCGTGGAACCCAGCAAGATGCAGCGTCCGTTGGACTGTCTGCCTTGAGACGTTGCCACCAGCAGAGCCCAGATTCACCAGGATGGGCTTGGTGGTGATCCTTGGATTCTTTTTCACCTCTCTCACTATCCTCCTGGCCAGCACAGATGTCACTTTTGGCTTCCGACCACGTCCTCTGAGATTTCCCACAGTGCGGAACGTCTTGTATTGTTGAATAATACTTTGCACTGTAGCCCCTGGAACTTAAACATTTAGATATGGCCTTATAGCCCTTTCTTGACCTGTGAACAGCCACAATGCGCAGCTGCAGGTCCTTAGTGAGCTCCTTTGTCTTAGCCATGAGCGTCCACAAACCAACTGCAGAGAGCTGCTATTTTTCACCTGTTGAGTTGAATAAAACAGCTGTTCCCAATGAATCAGGGTAATTAGGATGCTTTAGAACAGCTTGGACTATTTGAAATGGTATAGAACTTTGGATTTTCCCATAGACTGTGACAGTTTGCAAAGGGTATGAATAATTTTGGACATGCCACTTTTTGTTCAAATGTAAATAAAAGCTGAGGAATATTTTTTTTCCACAATGATGCCTCTTGTACTTCGTCTTATTATCTTCTGGGAGATGCCTGTGTCATTTCCGGTCAAAAAAAAATTGCTGGTTGAATAATTTTTTTTTTTTGGTTGAATTTCGGGCTTCACTGTGTATATATATATATATATATATATATATATATATAGTGTCTCTGCTGCTCTCTGTTAACACTGTAATCTGTGATCAGTGACTCTTTACAGAACTAACTCTCAGTGTGTTTTTCTTTTCTTTGCCGAGTTGAACAGCTGCCCATCCTGCGCATCTGATGCTGTTGCTTCTTCTGCCTTGATCGGGTGCCACTGCTCGCCAGCCTTCTGCACCAGTTTGACCACCATTGAGCTTCATGCTGTACAATGCTGTGCAAACCTAACCCTTATGAACTGACCCTCCTTAACTATCTAATTAACCATTGCTCCACCTGTTTTTCCCCGTTTTGTATTCTAATATTTTATACTAACGCTGTTTGCTATCCGGTGTCGACCAGAGGAGGATGGGTCTTCCCCTTGTTGAGTCTTGGTTCCTCTCAAGGTTTCTTCCTCTTGCTCATAGGGAGTTTTTCCTTGCCCCTGTCGCCACTGGCGACGCTCATGGGGGCTCGGACCTGGATTTTTCTGTAAAGCTGCTTTGTGACAACACCTGTTGTAAAAAGCGCTATATAAATAAACTTTGACTTGACTTTTGATGTAGTCTCAATTTGGTGAAGAAGAAAAAAAACAATTTCACAATCTTTGACCTAAGCCCATATCTTTAGTTCTGCATTGGAGCTACGTAGCTAATTTAGCTGACAAGTAATGACGCTGGCACTGATTTTCTAAGTGATAGTAAGTACACATGCTCTGCAGCAGGTGAGTCCAATCTTATCTGCAATAGGGCTGGTGTGGGTTTTATTCCACACAAACAGGAGCAAACCTGATTCCACTTGTTTAATCGGTTGGTCTCGACCTCCACAACTAACAATGTGTGCTCCTGCTTTGTTGGAACTAAAACCCGCAGCCATACCGGCCCTGATGGACGCATCTAGGTTTGGCAGATGTCAAGAGATCACTACCTACTGGAATGCATGGTGCCAACAGTAAAGTTTGGTGGAGGAGGGATAATGGTGTAGGGCTGTTTTTCAGGATTTGGGCTCTTTAGTACCAGGGTAAAATTAATGCTACAGCATACAAAAGACATTTTAGACAACTACATAATTCCAACAGTTTGGGAAAGGCCTTTTCCTGCTCTGTGCACAAAGAGAGGCCCATAAAGACATGGTTTGACGAATTTGGTGTCGAGGAACATGGAGAAAATCTTTCACACATAAAAAAGTAAAGTATTACTAATCATTTAAAGCTAAGATAAAGTACGGAGAGAAGGACAGCCATGAGTACCTGGTGAGGCAGCCTTCAGCAACATGCTCTTCATGCAGCCCTTGCCGCTCATGGCTAGAGCATAGCACGCTATCGCCACGGAGTAGGGGCGCCTCAGCCGCGGGAAGCGCTCCTTCAGATACTCGCCTGCTCTGCTGAAACTCGTCTGCAAAAGATATTCATGTTTACTGTTCACTTAATCACAGAAGAGCTCTACGGTGTTCTCTATCCTCTTGTGGGTTTAGCCTAGTAATAACACTTTTATAACAGAACAATAAGCCATGAGAGGCTGTGGGTTACTGCGATTTTATCACGGGAAAGTAAAACTATCACAGTAACTCACTGCCTCGAGTGGCTTATTGCTTTTATAAAATGCTGACCAACATAAAATATATTAAAATACACAACGTTTTAGATCATTATTTAAGTTATTATTAATAAAATTTAACATAAACAAGTATTCCGCCAAGAAATGTAGTCCCTTTAGAGTATCGTTGCTAAACCACTGAACGCTGAATGAGGAGAAGAACGTTTGGTCGCCCATCACTGTAAACTGCAGACATTTCATGATTTTTCGTATAACAGTGAACATTTGATAACACAGCACTGTTTAATGCTAAAACTTTCAGTTTATAAGTACTTTTTGGTCACCACATTACCACCGTGAGTCTTCCGCCAGTCTGACGATGCCACTTTTCTCACACTGGGGCTGAATCCCAAACGGCTCCCTGCCCCCTACATAGTGCACTACGTAGGAATTTAAATACTGACTCCTGCAGCCCAGCAATGCAGAATATCACTAAAAATGGTCATTTGGGATTCGTCCACATTCATACTCGACAGGCAGCGCAGTATTCGACAGCAGAAGATAAAATTTCCAAACTTAATGTTACACAGCTCACTATTTAGCTAGGGAGTACGGAGCCGTTTGGGACTCAGTCTGGGTTTGACGCTACTTCTGACTGAAACACGGACATTTGGAGTGTGTGAGACATTCAGGTTCATTCTTTAGACTTTTATAGTGCCGTTTTCAGTGAATCATATCGTGAGTGCTTTAATTCAAGCCTGTGATATTAAAGTTGGAGTTGTTTAGCATGTTTACTATCTTTTAGCCTGTTAGCTAGCTGACCATCCCGGTTCTAGATAAGAATATAAGTTTTCAGCCCCTCAGTTTAAACAGAAGCAGGTTCTTACTTCCTCAGTTCACTCGGTGCTCTCTGTGATCAGCTTTAGAGTCAAAGATTAATCCATTAACAGCTGAAGGGTTTTTTCGTGCCGAGGCGCAGTGATACAGAGTTCAGTCGCTGTGAGGAGGTCAGAGCCGTGGTATATCATGGACTTTACAACAGCTTCGAACGCGGCTCAGCCAATCAGATTTTAGGACCTGAACTATCCGTTTTATGAAGGGCTCTATATAATACAGTGATGTCATCAGCAATCTACTTCTTTAACTCAGTTGTAGGCAAAAGTTGGTAGGTGCAACCCAACATATTAACATTTAAAAAAAAAATACAACAGAAAATATGGCCTGTGCAAAAGTAATGGCATAATTTCTATATTTTCCAGTAGATTTTCAACAGAAATTGTACACATATTTCCATATTTCCATATTTTGGTTTGTTTCTTGTACAAGATGTAGTATTGTGTTATGTGTTATGTCCCACAAAACATGTAATTTGACTGGTGTTTTCAAACTTTTGCATACAACTGTATATCTATGGTTGAATTCTGTGGTGTATTCGAGCAGGAAAACGCTGTGAAAGCACACTCCTCGTCATTTAAGGTGCAACATTCATGCATGCGATGTAAAGGTGCAGGAGAGCAGTGACTGGACGTGTTATAAAAATCAGAATGTAGTTAGTTTGTTATCTCAGTGTTGAAGTTCATGAGGCGACTGCATCATTTACCAACATAGGAACCTAGTATGTGTGTGTGGGTGTGTGTGTGTGTGTTACCTCTGGGACGACTGATGGATCATTACAGGTGACAGCACTCTGAGCTTCAGCCAAGGCAATCAGTACAAATGCAGTGAGGGTCTCTTTGGATTCTGCACCTTGAAGACCACCCTATGCGCATGCATACAAAACAACAATCACTGTTCACTTTCTTAGAAATATCTATTATTGCACTAGAACTAAGCATCAAACTGTGATTATACTGCAACCTTATTGAACCTGCGATTAAAAATGTGGATTAAATTGGGATTTCGGGGGTGGGGAAGCCCTTTCTTTGTTGAGGGAAGTCAACAATGTGGGAACAACCCTCCCAGCTTGGTAGCATTGTGTGATAAGGGGCGACCTAGCTAGTGGGTAGGAGATGGACATGACTAAATTAGGGTGAACTTTATAGTTCTACAGTTACAGACTGTAGTCCATCTGTTTCTCTGAATACCTTGTTAGCCCCCTTTTACTCGTTCTTCAGTGGTCAGGACCCCCATGGACCCCCAACACAAACTGTGCAGCAGCAGATGAGCTATCGTCTCTGACTTTACATCTACAAGGTGGACCGACAAGGTAGGAGTGTCTAATAGAGTGGACAGTGAGTGGACACAGTGTTTAAAAACTCCAGCAGCACTGCTGTGTCTGATCCACTCAGACCAGCACAACACACACTAACACACCACCACTGTGTCAGTGTTACTGCAGCGCTGAGAATGATCCACCACCCAAATAGTACCTGCTCTGTGAGGGTCCATGGGGGTCCTGACCACTGAAGAACAGGGTAAAAGGGGGCTAACAAAGTATCAGAGAAACAGATGGACTACAGTCTGTAACTGTAGAACTACAAGGTGCACCTATATAGTAAGTGGAGCTCATAAATTGGACAATGAGCGTAGAAACAAGGAGGTGGTCATAATGTTAAGTGTATTTTTGGCCATAAAAACACAGTTTAATCTCTTATCCTGCTGTATCTTTCATTCTCTCACCGTCATTGAGGTGGTGTAGACGGGGTTATCCTCTTTGAACGCTCCAGAACTGAGCTGCTTGTGTTTGAGCAGGTAAATCAACGGCCCACATATGTGTTTCTCATCAACACTGATGAAATTCTTAGCCATGGAGAACACCTTCACCACAAACGCAGTGATCCTGAGAAAGAAAAGGTGAGTATGATTGAGCCGCACGCTTTCGACTGCTCTTAAATCTTCTCAGCATCCAAAAATGTATCATCTGCGAACTGTAGAAATACCATGTGCTGGTTCCTTCATTGCGGTAGGGTGGATACGAGTCATCCTTTTTGCGATAGAACAGTTGGTTCTCGTAGCCTGAGGCAGAAGCAGAAAGAGAACCCATCAGACCAGTGACCAATGACATACATTTGCACACAAGTCAGTAACAAACTGCTCTTGTTGTTAGGTTCCAGGTGCTTTAGGCCCTTAGAGGATTACCGTGCTATCTAAAGTTTGTATAAATTTGGAAAATAAATTAGATAAAAGTCATGTACCCATCTCTCGAAATCTTTGCAATGAGAAAAAACACTTTTGGTTTCACTAAAAACCTTACGATGGTTCTTTATAAAGCCATTTAAGTAAATGAGATGTGAAAGTGTAACGAAAGCTTAGGGAACTTTCACATGACATCATTTTCTCCCCCTAGAACCTTCAATTCAAGCCACGAACCTTGTAGGAACTTATAACTTTAGGACTATGTAAAACAATTATCTATTTGTTTGTCCACCCACTTATCCATTCATCTAATTTTCTGTCCATCTATCCGCCGCCCAGTGAGTTTTTTCATCTATTTAGCATCTACTTCCTGTCCATCCATCCATCTGGACATGTATGTATTCGACTTCTTGTCCATTAATCCACGCATCCATTCATCCATCTATTTCACTTAACTATCCAGCAATTTATCTATTCAACCTTCTTTCCAGTCATCCATCCAACTTCTTGTCTATTAATCATCATTTTTGGTGACCAAAAAGTACTAAAAGTTTTAGCATTAAACAGTGCTGTGTTATCATATGTTCACTGTTATACAAAAAATATTTGAAAAAATCATGAAATGTCTGCAGTTTACAGTGATGGACGACCGAACATTCTTTTCCTCATTCAGCGGTCAAAAGTTGCTCAACAACGATATCATACTCTATAGGAACCACAATATTTTTGGCATAATACTTGTTTATGTCCAATTTTATTAATAATAATTACTTAAATAATGATCTAAAACATTTTGTATTTTCATACACTTTATGTTGGCCGCTGTTTTATATAAGCAATAAGCCACTCGAGGCAGTGCGTTACTGTGATTTTATCACGGGGAAGGGAGTTTTACTCCGCTTCATGTCGTGCCTAACAACACCCATGATAAAATCACTGTAACCCACCTCCTCAAGTGGCTTATTGCTTTATTAATCAATCCATTCAACCATTTAGTCATTAATACCCCCAATGGCCCATCCATCTGTGTACCAATCTCTCCAATCTACCTAACTTTCTGCCCATCCATCTTTCTCACCTTTCTGTATGTAGCTAATAGCCTCCTCTCTGCGGTGCATTCCCACACTCTCCCACTGTCTGCTGCGGTCCAGATAGTGTGCAGCTATGAGAGGCAGTGTGATGCTGGCCAAGTTCTGCTCCACACATCCACCGGGCATCTGGATCAGCGCCGCCAGAGAGTCCTTATTGATGGAGTTATCAATGCTGTCTGCCAGCAAATCACCTATTAACACAAACACGTGTGAGCACAACGTGGCAGAAATTACAGTGCGTTCAGTTGGGATGTGTGCTAATAAGGGCTGTCATAATTATTACAAAATTGCCTGATTGTGATTATTTGAGTTCATCACATTTATTTATGCTGATTTTCAAAGTCACTAGATTTCAAAATGATATTGTTATAACAAGCAAATATGAATTGGGTGTGTTTTCATCAACTGGGTTGAGACAAACAAACTGCTGTTGTCGGGAGAAAACCTTGTATCTCCATTAATGACATTTTCATTGTTTGGCATAATTTAAAAATACCTGTTACCCTTTACATTGTATGTAAGTTTCATGATGAATGGAACAAAAGAAACGGCCCAAAATGGCTTGGAAAGACGTCTGGTTCCATTGACTTACATTAAAAGTAAAGTAGGTTTTTTCCTTCTCCTGTAAAGTTACCATTTTGGAGATGCAAGGTTTTGTTCGGACAACAGTGATATATAGATAGGATAGCTAAAAAAGCAAGACAGCTGATCAGCTATTTTGGTCCCCTTGGGCTTGTACTTTTATCAAAGCATAAAATGAACAAGAAAAAGAAGAAAAAATTGCAATTATTTAAAAGGAAATGAATTGCCAGCTAAAATGTTCACCTCTAACGTTGACAAATGTTTCTGGAAGCGAGTTCGGAACGACGGAGAGCGGTTTAGCTTTCTCCACATTAATCTCCTGCTTCCCATCTGTGGAACCAAACAAACACACACACTCAGGTTAACGAGCTGCTGAACGTTTAAGTGCCGAACAAAAGACACAACGGTAAATTTGGCGTTTGACGACTTGTGCTACACTAGGGGGTGATTGTGACAGCTGTGTCTGATCCACTCAGACCAGCACAACACACACTAACACACCACCACCATGTCAGTGTTACTGCAGTGCTGAGAATGATCCACCACCCAAACAGTACCTGCTCTGTGAGGGTCCATGGGGGTCCTGACTTTTTTTTAAAAACCTCCATTTGAAGGGCGATGTAGCTCTAAAACTTCGCCCTACCCCTCTATCTTAATGAGAACTGGGACACCCTAACCCTAGACGTGAACGCTCAAAACGAAGGGCTAAGGGCTAAGAGGTAGGGGCGAGGGGTGAAATGGGATTGGGCCTTTGTGTGATAGAAAGGGGACAGAAAGGAATCTCACCGCTGCCTCCTTTATCAGCAGGGTCCAACACGTAACTCCTCACATCCATCTTCTGAATTCCTTCCACCTGCACCAACACATGGCCACATTCACCAAGTTTAGGCATTGTACACTCAGAAAGTGTAGAGAAAACACATCAAGTGGGAGAATCTGACTCTAAAGGGACACTCTGGATAGAGGAAAACATGAAACCATCCCTTTGCCTGTCGTAAACATGCCTAATCACATCTTACAGCAATGACAGAGAAGTTTCTACAACAGATTTCCTGGTTTAAACACTGGGAAGTGCCATTCTGATGATGTATCCTGAAGATAGGAGATAATACTGAAAGTCTACGGCTGCTGTGGGGCTGGTTTGAAAACTAATGAGAAGAAACCATGGCAAGATGCAGTACTATACACAGAAATTAGAGGTGCACTGATCTGAATTTTCATCTCTGATGGTCCACTTGTGTGATTTTTATTAGCCTTTTTTTTAATATGCAAAGCTTACACTATGTGGGCGCATGAAACTTGCTAGTACCGGTACGTTTTGTTAGCCAAAGTTGCAATATAAAGAACATGAATGTTCCTCTTTTAATGAGCCAAACTGAAATCCTAAATTAGAAAAAAGAAAAATCAGCCTTTTAAATCATATAAATCAAATTCTACAAATGCTACATCAGCTATGTTTCCATTCAAAGGATTTTTTGTTGATGTATGGCTTTTATTTTAAAATAAAATAACATTAAATTAAATAAACAAAATGTCCTCATGAGCAGAAAACACTCTGAGACACAGAATTTATTACTTGCACAAGACACAGCAGTAAAAAAAGAAAACTGAATGTTTAAAATACGTAACAATACACAAAATTCATAGATCCCTTTCATAGAATACGACTGTGTCAATTCAACTCGTTTCCATTTATCAAATCAATCAACGTTACAAATGAACAATATTTGAGATTAAACGCAGCTAAAAAACTGGCCACAAGATAAAACACTAGCAAAGAACTAAAACGCTAACCATGAGCTAAAAAACTAGCCACAAGCTAAAATACTAGCTATCCACAAGCTAAAATACTAGCTCTGAGCTAAAATACTAGCCACAAGCTAAAATACTAGCCACAAGCTAAAATACTAGCTATGAGCTAAAATACTAGCTATGAGCTAAAATACTAGCCACAAGCTAAAATAATAGCCACAAGCTAAAATACTAGCTATGAGCTAAAATACTAGCCACAAGCTAAAATACTAGCTATGAGCTAAAATACTAGCCATGAGCTAAAATACTAGCTATGAGCTAAAATACTAGCCACAAGCTAAAATACTAGCTATGAGCTAAAATACTAGCCATGAGCTAAAATACTAGCTATGAGCTAAAATACTAGCCACAAGCTAAAATACTAGCTATGAGCTAAAATAATAGCCACAAGCTAAAATACTAGCTATGAGCTAAAATACTAGCCACAAGCTAAAATACTAGCCACAAGCTAAAATACTAGCTATGAGCTAAAATGCCAGCCACAAGCTAAAATACTAGCCACATGCTAAATTGCTGGCCATGAGCTAAAATCCTAGCCACAAGCTAAAATACTAGCTATCCACAAGCTAAAATACTAGCTCTGAGCTAAAATACTAGCCACAAGCTAAAATAATAGCCACAAGCTAAAATACTAGCTATGAGCTAAAATACTAGCCACAAGCTAAAATACTAGCTATGAGCTAAAATACTAGCCATGAGCTAAAATACTAGCTATGAGCTAAAATACTAGCCACAAGCTAAAATACTAGCTATGAGCTAAAATACTAGCCATGAGCTAAAATACTAGCTATGAGCTAAAATACTAGCCACAAGCTAAAATACTAGCTATGAGCTAAAATAATAGCCACAAGCTAAAATACTAGCTATGAGCTAAAATACTAGCCACAAGCTAAAATACTAGCCACAAGCTAAAATACTAGCTATGAGCTAAAATGCCAGCCACAAGCTAAAATACTAGCCACATGCTAAATTGCTGGCCATGAGCTAAAATCCTAGCCACAAGCTAAAATACTAGCTATCCACAAGCTAAAATACTAGCTCTGAGCTAAAATACTAGCCACAAGCTAAAATAATAGCCACAAGCTAAAATACTAGCTATGAGCTAAAATACTAGCCACAAGCTAAAATACTAGCTATGAGCTAAAATACTAGCCATGAGCTAAAATACTAGCTATGAGCTAAAATACTAGCCACAAGCTAAAATACTAGCTATGAGCTAAAATACTAGCCATGAGCTAAAATACTAGCCACAAGCTAAAATACTAGCTATGAGCTAAAATAATAGCCACAAGCTAAAATACTAGCTATGAGCTAAAATACTAGCCACAAGCTAAAATACTAGCCACAAGCTAAAATACTAGCTATGAGCTAAAATGCCAGCCACAAGCTAAAATACTAGCCACATGCTAAATTGCTGGCCATGAGCTAAAATCCTAGCCACAAGCTAGTCAGTATGTTATGGCAATTCTGGGAAGCCAAAGTTACAACAAGAATGAAAACATGTCAAATCGAACTTTTCCTACATAGTGTAGCTAAAAAACAGGTGGAGCTCATAAAGTGACCAGAGAGTGAAAAGACAGAGTCTGATATAGTTTTCCATGCAGATTCTCACCACCACGCGAAGAGTCTTCCTGATGGCATCCTGTCCAGCGAAGGAGCGCGCCGTGGCTGTGACCTGCAGGGGGAACTCTCCCGCTTTGAGAGGGATGACGGTATAACGCAGAAGCACAGAGGAACGTGCTTGGACCGACACCTGCTGCTTATGATCTCCAGTAAACGCCACACTGCACATGTCGCTCGTCTTCTCCAGGATCACCAGCACCTACAAACAGACACAAACAATACACAGACACACACCGATCAGGCATAACATTATGACCACCTCCTTGTTTCTACACTCATTGTCCATTTTATCAGCTCCACTTACTATATAGGTGCACTTTGTAGTTCTACAGTTACAGACTGTAGTCCATCTGTTTCTCTGCATACTTTTTAGCCCCCTTTTACCCTGTTCTTCAGTGGTCAGGACCCCCATGGACCCTCACAGAGCAGGTACTATTTGGGTGGTGGGTCATTTCAGCACTGCAGTAACACTGATGTGGTGGTGGTGTGTGAGTGTGTGTTGTGCTGGTCTGAGTGGATCAGACACAGCAGTGCTGCTGGAGTTTTTAAACACCTCAGTGTCACTGCTGTACTGAGAATAGTCCACCAACCAAAAACATCCAGTCAACAGCGTCCTGTGGGCAGCGTCCTGTGACCACTGATGAAGGACTAGAGGATGACCAACACAAACTGTGCAGCAGCAGATGAGCTATCGTCTCTGACTTTACAACTGCAAGGTGGACTGACAAGGTAGGAGTGTCTAATAGAGTGGACAGTGAGTGGACACAGTGTTTAAAAACTTCAGTGATCCACTCATCCACTCAGACCAGCACAACACTCACTAACACACCACCACCAAGTCAGTGTTACTGCAGTGCTGAGAATGATCCACCACCCAAATAGTACCTACACTGTGAGGGTCCATGGGAGTCCTGACCACTGAAGAACAGGGTAAAAGAAGGCTAACAAAGTATGCAGAGAAACAGATGGACTACAGTCTGTAACTGTAGAACTACATATATACATATATATATATATATATATATATATATATATATACACATAACCTAACAGTAACCTAGCTGGACAGGTAACGTATATTGATGTAAAATATTAAAACCATGAGGTCACATTTGGAAATGACCTGTAAATCCTGGTTCATGTAGTTGTGCAGCACGGCTTTGACCTCCACATGTTCGTGTCGGGCGGCAGTGCGAGGAAGACGCAGGTCGATGAAGAAAGGCTTCCACGCTCGGACATTATAAGGCTCCGCTACACAAAAACCTGCAGGAGCGCAAAACTCTTTCAGATGCAGAATCCATTACTTGCACATGACACAGCAGTAAGAAAGAAAGCTGAAGGTTTAAAGCATGAAAATTCTAAAATTCATAGTTTTGTTTCATAGAATACGACTGTCTCAATTCAATACGCCTCCATTTATTAAAACAATATAAATGAACAACACTTGAGCCACAATCTAAAACACTAGCAACAAAAAAAATACTAGCCATGACCTAAAATACTAGCCACAAGCTAAAATACTAGCTATGAGCTAAAATGCCAGCCACAAGCTAAAATACTAGCTATGAGCTAAAATACTAGCCACAAGCTAAAATACTAGCCATGAGCTAAAATACTAGCCACAAGCTAAAATACTAGCCACAAGCTAAAATACTAGCCATGAGCTAAAATATTAGCCACAAGCTAAAATACTAGCCACAAGCTAAAATACTAGCCACAAGCTAAAATGCCAGCCACAAGCTAAAATAATAGCTATGAGGTAAAACGTCAGCCGCAAGCTAAAATACTAGCCATGAGCTAAAATCCCAGCCAAAAGCTAAAACACTAGCTAGCTATGAGCTAAAACATCAGCCTCAAGTTAGCTAAAAAACTATTCACAAGCTAAAATACTAGATTAAGAGACCCTTATTAGTCCCACAATGGGATTTCACCTCTGCAATCTAACCCATCCGTGCAGTGAGACACCACATACACACTAGTGAACACCCACACTAGGGGGCAGTGAGCACACTAGCCCGGAGCAGTGGGCAGCCCTATCCACGGCGCCCGGGGAGCAGTTAGCGTTAGATGCCTTGCTCAAGGGCACTTCAGTCATGTACTGTCAGCTCAGGAGATCGAACAAGGCTGGTTCCACAACCTTCAGCCCACGACTGCCCCAAATCTTGTCAGGGGAGAGCATCAGCACAGTCCCCCACTACCAGAAATTATGTAGTCGAGATTCCTGCATTTGGGGAATTCGCAAGGGTCAGTACAACCAAGGTGCAATGGCCGAGCCTCACCCTGGGTGAACCACCTTCGTGATCATGGTGTCACCCCTGCCAGGTAAGTAACTAGCTACAAGATAAAACGCTAGTGAGTCACAAGTTAAAACGCCACAACAGGGATGTAACAACATTAGCCTATTCCCTAAAGCATACAGCAATGCACAGAAGCCATGTCTGTGGTTAGCAGGCATAACTGTTGTTCAAACTGTAAATTAAAAATAAATCAGTCCTCTCTTTTCAAAAGTATGTGAGTTGTAGTACATATATTAGCCATTACTGATAAATATGAGCCATCATAGAGTGTAAATCACATGAAGAATAATCAGTAGCCACGTTTACATGCAGCCTAATAAATCTTTAATAATCAAACTCAATCAGAATAGAATACGTCCATGCATACACCTCAATCGCAATAGACTAGTCCGATTGAGGCCATTCAGAATACAATTTATATCCGAGGTGGGTAATCCTGTAAATAATCCGTTAAATAGAAGAATAATATCCGTGTAAACGCCTGTATCTGATTACATATCAGAAAGTTTAAGTCCGTTCTGATCATGTTCGTCGCGACATAGTGAAAGTTTATACCGTTCAACATGGCGGAGCAGAAACTGGTCTGCAAAGGAGACGAAGTTTATGCTCTGGTCTTTAAAAGACGGCGGTGGGACGGACGTCCAGCTTATGTGTCTCAGAACATGACGTCTTCCTCTCGGCCTTCTTTAACAAGGACATGTGAAGGACGTTTTCCTGGGTCTGACATCATTTTAAAGTGATTAAAAACACAAGCACTGGTCACTGCTGCTCATCTCACTCTGACTGGACTCACGTGATGCTGGTTGGCATGGTAACGTCTACACTAAGTGGTTCTCTATGCCTGTGCATCATTTTGGATCTGATTATTTTTGTGCATGTAAACAGAGATTTTCAGTCAGATTGTTGAGTAGAGTGAGAATAAGAACACCTCAGTCTTAATCTGTAATCTGAATGTATTCAATCAGTCTGGCAAAAATCTGCATGTAAACACAGACAGTGAAAGTGTAACTGAACAAATATGGCAGGCATAAGTAAAGAAACTAATGCTCTTATTTAATCTGGTTACTGAGCCTCTCAGAACTGCAGGAACTTCAACTCATCAGAAATAAAGATTACCTGTGTCACGTGAGGCGCTGATACCCAGAACCCCCCATTCAGTGATGCTGTCCGGGAGAACAGAGTCCACCTGCATAATAGCCAATCTGGACAAAGACACACAGAGAGCCACAGTGAAATACACTTTCCCAAAGCAATCTGTAGGTGGTCTTTAGGCCTGCAGGAGCACAGTTAGTCTTACCAAGGCAATTTTGAGTGATTAAAGTTAAAAAAAAAAACTAACCACAAGCAACAAACCCTAGCCACAAACTGAAATGCTAGCAACAAGCTAACGTACTACATACAAGTTAAAATGCTAGCCACTCGTTAAAACGCCACACACAAAATACTAGCCACGAAAACGATAGCCATAAGTTACTAACCACAAACTAAAATGCTAACCACGAGGTAAAAGCTAGCAACAAGCTAAATCAATAGCCATAAGTTTAAAAACTAACCAGGTGACACTGGAAAACAAGAGGGTATAAGAAATGGGATTGGGCCCAACTTATGATGTGATGTCGGGATGGTATGAACGTTTTCCACCTGGGTGATTTGAGGGTGTACTGAGAGTGCAGTTGTACAAACCCAAATCCAAAAATTGTTTGGAAATCACTGATCTTTAAACATAAAAACATACTTTGACCTGTATTTAAACAAAACCAATACGAAGACAAGATAATTAACATTTTATCTTATCAGCTTCACTGTTTTTTGTAAATAAACGCTCATTCTGAAATGAATGCCTGTGTCAGGATCCATTTAAGATTTTAATGTTCAGAAAAGATTTTAAAAAGAGGTCATGCAATTATGTCTGGGGTTAAAAGGAGCATCCAGGAACGGCCAAGCCCTCTGTAAGTAAGGACGGGTCAAGGCTCACCACTTTGCCAAAGAATGCATCATGAAATAGTCCAGCTGATTAAGAATAATGTTCCCAAACAAGCGTTTGCAAGGATTCACCCTCTATGGTGCATGAGAGGGTATCAAAAAATTCAGGGAATCCAGGGGAATCTCTGTGGGTAATCTCTGAATGCGCATGACCTCCGATCCCTCAGATGGCACTGCATCGAAAACCGGTATGCCTCTGTGATCCATACCACTCTGTGAGCTCGGGAATACTTTGACAAAGGACTGTCAGTAAGCACTGTTTGCACAGATGCAAGTTAAGACTGTACTATGCACAGCAGACATGACATTTCAACAACATCCAGAAACTTTTTGGAATGTGTTGCACGCTCTCAAATTTAGAATGAGAACATACGCCATATTTCCTAAAGTATTCACTCAACCATCCAAATCATTGAATTCAGGTGTTCCAATCACTTCCATGGCCACAGGTGTATAAAACCAAGCACCTAGACCTGCAGACTGCTTCTACAAACATTTGTGAAAGAATGGGTCGCTCTCAGGAGCTCAGTGAATTCCAGTGTGGTGCTGTGATTGGATGCCACCTGTGCAACAAGTCCAGTCATGAAATTTCCTCGCTACTAAATATTCCACAGTCAACTGTCAGTGGTGTTATAACAAAGTGGAAGCGGTTGGGAACGACAGCAACTCAGCCACGAAGTGGTCGACCACGTAAAATGACAGAGCGGGGTCAGCGGATGCTGAGGCGCATAGTTCGCAGAGGTTGTCAACTTTCTGCAGAGTCAATCGCTACAGACCTTCAAACTTCATGTGGCCTTCAGATTAGCTCAAGAACAGCGTAGAGAGCTTCATGGAATGGGTTTCCACCGCGTTGAATGCAGTGGTGTAAAGCACTGCCACTGGACTCTAGAGCAGTGGAGACATGTTCTCTGGAGTGACGAATCAAGCTTCTCTGTCTGGCAATCTGATTGATGAGTCTGGGTTTGGCGGTTGCCAGGAGAACGGTACTTGTCTGACTGCACTGTGCCAAGTGTGAGGTTTGGTGGAGGGGGGATTATGGTGTGGGGTTGTTTTTCAGGAGTTGGGCTCGGCCCCTTAGTTCCAGTGAAAGGAACTCTTATTGCTTCAGCAGACCAAGAGATTTTGGACAATTTCATGCTCCCAACTTTGTGGGAACAGTTTGGGGACGGCCCCTTCCTGTTCCAACATGACAGCGCACCAGTGCACAAAGCAATGTCCATAAAGACATGGATGGTTTGGTGTGGAAGAACTTGACTGGCCTGCACAGTCCTGACCTCAACCCAATAGAACACCTTTGGGATGAATTAGAGCGGGAGACTGTGAGCCGGGCCTTCTCGTCCAACATGAGCGTCTGACCTCACAAATGTGCTTCTGGAAGAATGGTCAAAAATTCCCATAAACACTCCTAAACCTTGTGGAAAGCCTTCCCAGAAGAGTGGAAGCTGTTATAGCTGCAAAGGGTGGGCTGACATCACATTAAACTCTATGGATTAAGAATGGGATGTCAGTCAAGTTCATATGCATGTGAAGGCAGACGAGCAAATACTTTTGGCAATATAGTGTATTTACAAAATAACAATGAAGTTCATAAGGTCATACATCAAATATAATGCTTTTGTGCTGTTTTCAAATGAATCCCAAACATAATTTTTGGGATTTCAGTGTTCACTGACCTATCCCATACTGTCCCAACATTTTTGGAATTGGGTTTGCAAGTGGATGTGAGAGCTTTAAAGTTAAATATTACTCCTACCCATTCATTGCAGCCGGCTCAGGCGCTCCTGGGAGTTTGATATCAGTCCATAGCCAGGACTCAAAGAACTTTGTGCGAACGTAAATGTCCTCCACAGAGGCGTAATCATCATCATCATCATCATCATATTCATCATGCTTGGGCACAAAACCACCAGGCAAAGCAGCACCGGGCAAAGCAGCACCGAGCCCAAAGCGTCCCCCTCTGCCTACAGGAGATTCAGGAGGTCCAGGAGGTCCAGGAAGTCCAGGAAATCCAGGAGGCCCAGGAGGTCCAGGAGGTCCAGGAAGTCCAGGAAGTCTGGGACTCATAGGCACTGCAATTTAGAGATGTGACAAAGAATGGTTCTTTTCTTAAATAACATTTTGTAGCCCTCTACTGTAGGTCAGTGCTCATAAGGCTACAGGACAATTACATAAGCCTCTCATCACGGCTGACATAAACCCACATAAACATTTATAAATGCTTATTCCACTAAGTGGCAGTTGTCATAAAGACTTCTTTTGTCAACTTCATTGTCAAGTTGATGTAACATCTATGTCAAGTGACAGGTTTTTGTTGCTGTCAGTTTGTGCAATAACACTTTCTAGGGTGAAATAAATATGATAAATAAATATGATACTCATTTTACCTAAGGGCCAGAGAAAACATGGAAACAGGGAAAATCCACCATAGCCTTTGCACAAACATTGGGCATAGCAATGCAACCTATTTGTGCTGAAAAAGAAAGAAACCACTGGAGTACTAACAACCAGCAGTTGATGACAAGAACATTGTGAGAGGTGTGAAGAAAACCCCCAAAAAAACAGTCAGTGACATCACTAACAACCTCCACAGGCCAGGGGTAAATGTATTACAATCCACTGTTCAGATGTGAGCAGAAATATAGAGACTATACCACAAGATGGAAACTGCTTATCAGCAGAAAGAGTCGGGAAGCCATATTGGAAATTGCAGAGAAAAAGGGACGGGTCATTCTGCAGAAACATCCACTTTCCTATTTATCCATAGGAGTCACTGGTGTTACCGATCCTCATTAGTGTTACACATAAGAAAGACAACACCAGTGGCATTTTTAATGAACAATGCATTTTACAAAACGGCTGCTACAGAGCATCAAACCACATGTTGTCAATCATAGAACATCCACTAAAATATGTCATTCAATCCATTTGTATTCTATTTTTTCACAATTACCTCAGAATAAAGTGGGTCACACCAGTGACTTCAGCTAAAAGCTTCATATGAAATCATGAGCTAAATGAGAAAATGTCTGATAACTGAAAGACACAGTGGACTCACCATGTGCTTTTCTTCATAGATCCTCAGAACACAGGTAAAAGGAAGTCAAGTGATGTCATCAGTGTTGTGACAGTGTTATGACAGCCAGTCTGTCACTTGACATTGGTGTTATGTCATCTTGACATTGAAACTGACAAAAGCAGCTTTTCTGACAACTGCTGCTTATTGGAATAAGCCTTTATAAATGTTTCTGTAGGTTTATGCCAGCTGTCATGTAGCCTTACTAACTTGACCTACAGTAAAGTGTTACTCTACATTTTTAGAAAAACAAATAAAAAATATTCAGCTAATATTTTAAATAAAATTTTCCAGAACCCAAATTATCCTCCGATTTGTCATGGCATGTTAACCTTTTATGCACAATGTTCTTCAGTTCTTGGGCCTGAAAACTGAAAGCAGCAGGTATTTGTTTGCTATATTAGCCTAGTTTGTTAGTGGCCTGGTAGCTGTAACCGAAGGTTGATGACGCTAAAGGACATTAGGCCAGAAAAATGATTAGCTTTTTTCTCAGTATTAAGTCAAATTTGTTAGCAGTGTAGGTTTATAATCAACCTGTTCTTCAGTGGTCAGGACCCCCATGGACCCTCACAGAGCAGGTACTATTTGGGTGGTGGATCATTCTCAGCGCTGCAGTAACACTGACGTGGTGGTGGTGTGTTAGTATGTGTTGCGCTGGTCTGAGTGGATCAGACACAGCAGTGCTGCTGGAGTTTTTAAACACTGTGTCCACTCACTGTCCACTCTATTAGACACTCCTACCTTGTCAGTCCACCTTGTAGATGTAAAGTCAGAGACGATAGCTCATCTGCTGCTGCACAGTTTGTGTTAGTCATCCTCTAGTCCTTCATCAGTGGTCACAGGACGCTGTTGGCTGGACAGGTTTGGTTGGTGGACTATTCTCAGTCCAGCTGTGACACTGAGGTGTTTAAAAACTCCAGCAGCACTGCTGTGTCTGATCCACTCAGTCCAGCACAACACACACTGCTCTGTGAGGGTCCATGGGGGTCCTGACCACTGAAGAACAGGGTAAAAGGGGGCTAACAAAGTATGCAGAGAAACAGATGGACTACAGTCTGTAACTGTAGAACTACAAAGTGCACCTATATAGTAAGTGGAGCTGATAAAATGGACAATGAGCGGAGAAACAAGGAGGTGGTCATAATGTTATCCCTGATTGGTGTACGCTCACAGTACATTTCCCAAAGAAATTTTCACTGCCTACATTCCAGTTGGAGAAGCAAACTGTTGGTCCCACCTCCTCTTTTTGATTTACATTTGTGAATGTGAACACTTACTTAAGAACGCCCTCTCCGCATGAAATATGTATATATCTGGGACAGATCCTATTCCGTGTCGATCCAAAAATACGTCATAGGGTGTGGTTGGAGGTGGCTCAGCAGTGGTGGGTGGCGGCGGGGTGATGACACCCAGCTCCTGGCCCCAATACTGGGAGCAACATTCGAGGAAAGCCATCACACAGCTCCAGTTCTCTGTGATGTACAAAGAACGGCGGCGGCAAGAATAGGGCATAGGAATCTCCCTCATACCGGCCATGCAGCAGCGTTGCTCTAAATCTTGGGTGTACTTTTTCTCTGATCACACATACATACACATACACAGAGGAAACAAAACAACATTTGGGAAAACAATCTTATACTCCACAGGGTCCCAGCTCTGGACATTTTGGTGTTTTCCCTACGACACTATGGGAAAGATTTACTAAGAGCTTAGGAATGGTAGCGTATATAATTTCCTGTAAAAACTGCTGTAGGAAGTCCAATTTCATTGGCAATCGCAAATGCGAATCACAAGGCCGACTGTCAGTGATGTAGTCTACTGCAGATACATTCATGTCAGTTAGCAGAACTGTTTTTAGTAAACAGATTGGGACAGCTGAGCAGCGGATGGCATATGACACAGTAGCAGGCACTCACCAAGCTGGGCTCGGAGTTGCAGTCGGGCTGCAGAGCGCTTCTTCCTGGGATGAATGTAGCACTCTAAACGAGAACCACAATATAAGTTAGTCAATATTAAATATCATAGTTACACATATAGTAAAACCTAGAACTGGCAAAGTACAGCAAATTTGTAAGCCTGGCTTTACGCAGTGAAACTTACATGAAACTAAATTGCACTTGAGTTGCATAACGTAAAGCATTCTCCAACCCACTTGAAACTCAGCTGCAAGCGTCTCAACTTCATGAAAACAAGTTCCACAAAAAAAAGCCATTTGAAATGTCTGTAAGGCATTGTGTGATTGTGTCGAATGCCACACTTTCAAACCACTGATTTCACCAAATCAATGGACAAGAAACAAAATAAAAGATGGTTTATTGGACAGTTAAAAAGCTCCCCCTCCCCAACTGACTCAAGTTGGTAGTTTTCCATTTTGTCTGTTTTTTGAGCCATGGCAACAAACATGGGTTTCTCTAAGCTAACAGCATTGTTATCTAGCCAGTCAACACTAACAGCTGTTTAAATGGCTGCTTGTGCCACCATTTATTCTTCTGTTATTGCAATTTGTGTAGCTAAATTCATTTTCTCCTCTCTTGATATCCCCTAATTTTACACAGAGCTCAGTTATTTTTACATATGTTTCCAAGGAGATTAGATATAAGATAATCCACCAACATAAAAAAGGGGAAAGTGGAATCATTAGAAGCAGAAAGTGCAACCAACTTCTAAGACTGAACTTTGCAAGTCTCTCAAATCTCTTGCTGTAATAAAGGCAAACATGGACACAATAAATACGGAAAGAATTGATATTATATTCAGTTGTTGAGACTTTCATATTAAATATGTTTCTGCTCTTCTAATAACTTGTACTTAATGGCTGGAAACAAAGGATGGTCTCTGACTTTTGCACAGTACTGTATCTCTGAGAAGAAACCAGGGAGGGTCTTTGAGCTAGCTTAGCATTTTAACGGATGATAGGTGGACGGCCAGGGGAGGTGAAACATAATGTTATGGGTTAATATTATTATTCCCCGCTGATGCATTAAAAAAAGTACCTGGCAAGATAGATGTATCAGCTCCATAGCTGGACTGAAAGCTCAGTCCTGAGTCTCGGAACATTAGCATACTGTTGCGCCCTCCATCTTCAGAGCAGCCCATATCAGACCGGCCCACCGTATCCCAGATCTAGGAGACACAGGTGTGGAATGAGTTTAGAGAGAGAATTATAACTGAACCATCCATGGAGGACAAGCTTGACAGAACATTGGCAAAAAGGGTCAGGTGTACAAAACATATTAAATATTCCTTTCGATTTGCTAAAGTTTGGATGACTAGCGCTGGCCAGTTTGCCAGGGAGAGCTTGTTCAGCCGTGCAACAGAAGCTATGGAAGAATGCATTTGTGGGAAGAACACGGACAGGTCAGTTGGGCAATGACTGTAGGTACGTATGTTGTCAGCATTTTGGATAAATAAATAAAACGCAGTGCACTTATGACGTTACCTTACTCTGCGTCAGTCGGCCCTTGCTCAGCAGGAAAACAGCGTTGTCCACGGCAACCAGACTAACCTTCGCCCCTGGATCACCTCTAACCTGGAAGTGAAAGCTGCTGCCCGGCGAGTGAGTGTCCAACTCTCGTCCCTTTACTGGGCCGACTGTGAGCTAAAACATGCAAACAGTTATGGTCAAACAGCAAAACACATTTGCTAATGAGACCTACTGATCACTTGATTGGACACACTGACTTCTTGATAGAGAATATAGTTGTATGCAAAGGTTTGGACACAAACTACCTATGTTGTTGATTTGAAGTAAACACAATATCTGCAGCATACAATAAAAAAAAAACATTTAAAAAAGCACAATAACTTTAGATTCAAAAATGAGTAATTGTGCAAAAGTTTGGACAGTCTTTCAGCTGTTAAGTCCCAGAACTTAATTAACCTTGTAAGGCCTACATTGACTCATTAGGTCTGGTCAGGCAGGTCAAGAATTGTCATAAGGAACTGTCAACTGGTAACAATTCCAGAGCAATTCCAGAGCTTAATAAATTCTATGACTCTTCAAACCTTTTGCTAAAAGTAAACAACTATGGCTCCTCTAAGCAGCTGAAGGAGCTGATCTGAAAATAAAGCTAACCGACGCCTGCAAAGCAAGAGAAGGCTATAAAAAGATACCAAAGATCTTCCAGTGTATAGTTTCCGCTGCCCAAATTGTCATTAAGAAATGGTAGGCAAGGCAAGCTTTGAAACTCCAAGATAGAACTGCTGGTATGCTGGCCAGAAAGGCAAAGCAAAACCCCCATATGACAGCAAATGACCTGCAGGAAGATTTAGCTAAGACAGGAGTCACAAGTGCAATATTCTGCACTGCAGCATTGCTTGCACTACCCATGGAAAAGTCATCAAAGTTAAATCATGCCTGCGACCTCACCACAAAAGTCAACGCCTGAAATATGCAAAACAACCTCTAGAGGAGCCGAAGCGCTTTTGGAAGCAAGTGTTGTGGACTGAAAATGTAACTCTTTAGCCATAATCAATGCTGTATTGAGAATGATCCACCAACCAAATGACATGTTGTCCCCCTTGCCACTGATGGATATGTAGAGGGACATCTTGACCTCTGACAGCGACTGTGATTTAAAAGACTTACTGATCCCACACAATCGCTCTCCACCTCCACCAGCATGGACTCCACCACCACCTCCCCCTTCCAGCTCCAGGGCAACACATAGTATGCCAGAAGCCGGAATGCTGGCTGAAAGTCCGATGTGATCAGCAGAGGAAAATTAGTGATATCTTGTCCTGCTACTCGCACTTTGCCAGCATGGATTATCTTGCCCTTATTCACAATCTGGAAAGAGCACAGAGTTTTTGAATGAGTGAAACACAGCGTAGAGGAGCTGGTGCTTCCTGTTTTTTCCTAAGAAGCTTATACTGCATTTTTTAAAACTAGCACTAGGATCTCAAAATATAAGGAATTCCCTTGATTGCCTGTTGCTAACATTACGTTACTGTTTAATCAAAAGTTAAATGAGACAGAGAAAGCCCAGAATGCATATTTCCCAAACATACCATTTATTTAAGTGTCTAACTGGCAGAATTTCTGTGCATCATTACAGACTTTTACCATCTTTACAACTGCATCCAACCAATCCACTGTGAAAATGATGCTAAAATATGCAATAAAGATTGCAGGCATACAAAGTAAACAATATAAACTGCTAAAATGCAGAAAAGTATGTGGACACCCAGGGTGGTCGGAAAACACCTTCCCAAAGGCAGCATCCTATGACAGTGCCAGTGAGCTCTGCCAATGTTCATCTATGGAGATTGCATGGCTTTTAAGATTAAGTGACCCTTATAAGTCCCACAATGGGGAAATTTCACCTCTGCATTTAACCCATCCATGCAGTGAAACACCACATACACACTAGTGAACACCCACACTAGGGGGAAATGAGCACACTTGACCGGAGCAGTGGGCAGCCATATTCGCAGCGCCTGGGGAGCAGTTGGGGGTGAGGCACTTCAGTCATGTAGTGTCGGCTCAGGGGATCAAACCGGTGACCTTCCGGTCACAAGGCTGGTTCCGTAACCTCCAGCCCACACTGCCTATACACCTGTTAGCAAAGAATGTGGCTGAAACACTTGAACTTTTTAATCAAAAGGGGTGTCCACATACTTTTGGCCACAAGAAAAAAGAAAACAAATTGGATGACTCACAACATATGAAACGTGTTGAATGAAGTTCCGTTCCTTCTGGGAGAACGTGCTGAGGTGCAGTTTCAAATTCAGGACCTTCCCCACCCTCACTTCAGAAGTATCTCTTGAGATGTAAAGGTAGTTCTGACGACCCACGTTAAAAGGCGCGTATGGATGCACCCACATACTCTCCTTTGCCTGTTGCTGGCTCTTCAATCCTGGCATTTCTGTCTCCACCTGCAAAGACAATCCATAAACAAACACATTCACTAAACGCAAGCTTATGTTCTTTAGGGTAAGACATGCATGTGTGTATCTAACTCACCGTTATTGTCTCGGTGCTTAAGGAAGCAGGCATGTTAAAGGTCACTTTGATGGTGCCACTGTGTACTGAGACTGGACTGGACAAGAAGTTGATTTTAACAGGAACGTTTGGAGCCGGAGAGCCATCGTGGTGGCTGACCTTAAGCTGAAGAGCAAAGTCAAAACATTTCCACTCCTTCCTGCTGTAAAGAGGACTGTGATAGTGGACTAAAACTTGCGGAAGGACAGTGGACTTACTGTCAGGTCAAAAGGCAGGCCTGGTTTAAAAATTTTTGGGGTGCCTTTGAAGGACAGCATGTATGATGCTATGACTATTTTAATGCCAGACTTCTCAGCCTCCACCAGGTCACTTCCTGAGGATGACAGCATCCCAATATCAGACTTTTTCCATACTGTCCCAAAGTAGTATTTTCCAAGACATTCGTTCTGAAATATTGCCCTCACTGAAATACAGTGTATTCAGAGCCCTCTGTTTTTGTTATTTAATAAACTTCCAGTGCAGACATCAAAAGTTGCATAAAAAGAAGCGCAACCTTGACCTCTTTCACAAACTACTCTTATTCATGAAAGTGTCATAAGATGTGGAAATAATTCACAAAGAATTTAAGAGCAAATGAAGAATCAGCTTCAGTGCGTGAAATCAAGCACCAACCTACTAGCCATATTGTTTACATGAAGCATGCCCTTTTTCATACTGGTGTTTCGGTTGTAAGCCAATAAAACTACAGCATTCAGCGGCTCGTGAGCCAACGGCAGCGCTTGTAGGCAGAGTTTGAGGTGGACTGCACCCCCTACTGACCAAACTTTATAGTGTTAAAATTATGATGACTGTGAAATAAATAAAACATCTTAGTTTTTAATAAGGTAGAATGATAAGATTCTACAGTGTAAAATTACACTTTTAAACGCTGTACTATTAGCTGTGTTCTGTATTGTTTATTTTGTGGGTGGAGTCAGTAGCATTACACAAAGGCGCAGTGTAATCTCTTTAAATGGAACATGGAATATTTGCTGCTTTTGTTTAGATCAATGTGCACGTAAAAGAAGTGTATCCAACTTTGTACTGGACTGCATAAATCATGCACAAAATGTAGTATCATTCTTATTTTCTATTTTTATGCTTTTAATGTTGGTATTGATGATGTTGATAATAGTTTTGCTTGGTTAACTGAAAGCAAGCATTTTTTTAGGTTACAGTCAAATTTACAAGCACTCTACCAGACATGAGTTTGATTGTACAGATACAGCAAAGATAAAATTGATGAATAACTAAGTTAGTAGTGAAATAGCTTTGTTATTCACAAACCTTGTGTGCGCTCACTATACGGTGAGATTTGACCATATGCAGGGCCATAATGTCTTTTTTTGGATGTTTTTCCCAATTTTCTCCCCAATTTAGATGTGTGCAATTCCACCTGCTAGTGAGGACTTCCCCGATCACACTATACCACCAGCGCTAGTAGGGCGAAAGCTAGCTCAGGCTTCCTCCAGTCCTGTGAAGCGCTACTACATCTTTTCAAACTGCCACTAATGCATTACGAGGAAAGCGCCAACTGCCAGATCTGTAATGTCAGCTCACAGGCGCCTGCGCTGACTAGCATCGTGCTGAGTGATGGGGGGGAGACATGGGGGGGCATCCTACCCACCCAGAGTGCGAGGCCAATCGTCAACTTCAAGATTGCACCTCGTATCATTATGAAAGACATTGTTAACGTTATTAAACAACACTCGAATGGAAAGCTACAGAGCCCTAAAATGGCCTTAAACATCCCTGTCAGTGAAGTATGAAGGTGGGAGTATCGTGATATAAGGCTGCTTACAGTACTGGGGCATTACACTCTTTAAACAATATTTAAACCCATTTTCAATCGACCTTCTGAAAGAACAGATCCACTTCCATATTAAGCTCAGACACTTGTCTTACATGTCCTTTGTGTCCCACTTTCCAATACCACTCAAAGCAATACACAAGAAAAGAAACCAAGGGGGATGGGTGAGGCATCTTCCATTAGCTTCAATTATATGTGTATTTTGAAGTCATATGGTTTTCTGCCATTTTCTACATAAAGGGAAACTTTTCGAATGATGTTTTTGGTAATCAACCACATGCTACTGATGCACCAGACAAAGTTTATGCTGAAAAACTTTGGAGTATTCCTTCAAGCACTGCGAGTCATTCCCATTTACACCACCTTAATCACTACATGATAGTATATTTTGGGTACCTAACACAGTTACACCTCTGGTAAAGACTGACAGAAAAGAAGGCCTCCTACCTGTGCTGGTCATGACGGAAGCTTTGACATATATAGAAGAGCCCACTAATTCTTGGATGTTGGGGTAAGACCTCTTAAGCTCCTCCATAGTCAGAATGGCTTCTCCTCCTTTCAGCTGAAATGAATCAAGAACACGGGTATGTCAGCATGAACATTTGGGGTTCAGCTTCCCAAAAAAGTTGGGACGCTGTACAAAACGTAAATAAAAACAAAATGCAATGATGTGCAAATCATTTAAACCCATATATTTCATTGAAAATAGCAGAAAGAAAACATGTCAAATGTTGAAACATTTTTGAAAAATAGACGCCCATTTTGAATTTTAATGCCAGCAACACGTTTTAAAAAAGTTGGGACAGGTGTAGCAAAAGACGTGTAAGTTGTGTAATGCTAAAAAAAACACCTGCAGAACATCTCATAACTAATTAGGGTTAATTAGCAACAGGTTGGTAGCATGACTGGGCATAAAAAGAGCATCAAAAAGAGTCTTTTAGAAGTAAAGATGGGGAGGGGTTCACCACTATATAGTGAAACAATTCAAGAATAACCTCTCTCAACATAAAATAGCAAACAACTTTTGCTTTTTATCATGTACAGTACATATTGATTTCCAGACATGATTCTGTAATGGAAATCACTGAATGGGCTCAGGAACACTTCTGAAAAACACTGATGAACACAGTTCATCACTCCATCCACAAATGCAAGTTAAAACTTCTAACATGCAAAGAAGAAATCATACATAAACAGAATCCAGAAATGCTGTCGCCTTCTCTGGGCCCGAGCTCATTTACAATGGACTGAGGAGAAGTGCAAAAGTGTCTGGTGGTCCAACAAATCAAAATGTGAAATTCTTTTTGGATTCCGCATCCTCCGGGCGAAAGAGGAGAGCGACCAGCTTGTTATCATCACACAGTTCAAAAGCCAGCATCTGTGATGGTGTAGGGTTGCATTAGTGCACATGACATGGGTGACTTGCACATCTGTGAAGGCACCATTAATGCTGAATGATATCTTAATAAAAACTTATTCAGACTTTCTGTTCTGCCCTAAATTCTACAATAGCAGCAAGACATGCCTCATAACAGCTCATTACAAAGAAAAACCGGACAGTCTTGACTATTCTTGAGCAGCAAATCGGCATGAAATGAATGCTAAGTGTTTACAGGCTTCGCAATCCACCTGGACAAAAGAGACATGGGAGTTTGATGCTCACACTATACCAGTGCTACACAAATAAATATTTGGAGAGAACTTGGACAGCATGCCTAGATGAAAAGTCCCCCTGAATAGGTGAAATGTAGTGATGTGTATACCAACGTGGGAGACATTTGAAGGCCGATTTCGTCACAGTGGCGCAACTAGGCTGTCCCATTACAAAGGCTCCTTTATACGTGGCCGAGAAATGTGTCCTTCTTTTCCGTGGCAATGAAGGATCCAATGAGTGGATCTTTAGCCAGCCAGACCAGAGCAGACCGTCTCATTTCAGTTCAGCCTTTGTGGGTCTAAGCAGCTTTCGAAGGACACACCTTCGTAGACCACGATCCTTTAAAGGATGCAGCCCCTGAATTGGGACTGACTATGTCATTGACGCTGTCAACAATGACATGGTAGCACAGCATTTTAAACTGGCAACTCAGTGTTACAAAGTAACACTAAACACACTGTGTAGGGGACCAGTTTATATAACTCAAAAATTGTGAGCTGCACAATTCGTGAGCGGAGCATGGACAGGTCAATTGTGCTTTCTTAGGCACTCCACCAGAGATGACAGTAGCAGAGCTAGGAGCAAACTGGACTCCAATTGGGAGCCAGCTTTTTCCTATCGATTATACTGCTTCACAAGCTTCCATCATTGAGTGTCGTAGCTCTACAGCAAAGTGCAAAGCTAAAGAAGATTTGGCTCATATTTGGGCAGATTCAGTGTTTCTCAACACTGGTCCTGGTCCTGTAGCTGTTCCTGCTTTACCACCACCACTTTAACTTAATCATGAGTTGCTAATGAGCTGATTAGCTGGATCAGGTGTGTTGGGAGCAAGGAAAACAGTAAAAATTGCCTGGGCCTCCAGGACCAGGGCTGAGAAACACTGGACTACATTTGGGGAAAACTGTATAATTCGATTTTAAGTGTCTCTTCTACAGTGTCATTATTTCACTTACATCTTTCACTTGTTTCATGGAGGGCAGTCTTATTTTATCTCCATTCTTCTCCACTCCAAACACTACATACGCAACCCCTTCCACTGACTCTCCATACAAATACCTGAAAATAGACAACATTTATGTCAATGGAAGATGGAAGTAAAAGTGCAGTAGATTCACCAGGTAATAGGTATAGGGAGAGTAAGACAAGAATAGGCAAAGAGAAGTAAATGGAAATAGAAAAGAACAGGAGATCAAGCTGGTAAACACCTATTTATAGAACATAAATAGCTTTTGTTGCATCATTCGTCATGTAAATATGATTTTTGTTCATACACCGATCAGGCATAATATTATGACCAACCTTCAACAACTCCTTGTTTCTACGCTCATTGTCCATTTTATCAGCTCCACTTACTATATAGGTGCACTTTGTAGTTCTACAGTTACAGACTGTAGTCCATCTGTTTCTCTGCATACTTTGTTAGCCCCCTTTTACCCTGTTCTTCAGTGGTCAGGACCCCCATGGACCCCCACAGAGCAGGTACTATTTGGGTGGTGGATCATTCTCAGCACTGCAGTAACACTGACGTGGTGGTGGTGTGTTAGTGTGTGTTGTGCTGGTCTGAGTGCATCAGACACAGCAGTGCTGCTGGAGTTTTTAAACACTGTGTCCACTCACTGTCCACTCTATTAGACACTCCTACCTTGTCAGTCCACCTTGTAGATGTAAAGTCAGAGACCATAGCTCATCTGCTGCTGCACAGTTTGTGTTGGTCATCCTCTAGTCCTTCATCAGTGGTCACAGGACGCTGCCCACAGGACGCTGTTGGCTGGATATTTTTGGTTGGTGGACTATTCTCAGTCCAGCAGAGACACTGAGGTGTTTAAAAACTCCAGCAGCACTGCTGTGTCTGATCCACTCAGACCAGCACAACACACACTAACACACCACGTCAGTGTTACTGTAGTGCTGAGAATGATCACCACCCAAATAGTACCTGCTCTGTCAGGGTCCATGGGGGTCCTGACCACTGAAGAACAGGGTAAAAGGGGGCTAACAAAGTATGCAGAGAAACAGATGGACTACAGTCTGTAACTGTAGAACTACAAAGTGCACCTATATAGTAAGTGGAGCTGATAAAATGGACAATGAGTGTAGAAACAAGGAGGTGGTCATTATGTTATGCCTGATCGGTGTACATTCAAACATGGGAATCTGTTGTGTTGAGACTGACCTTGCAGACACCTTCACCACTAACTCTTTGTCTTCCATATCCAAGTGATGTTTCACTGGTGTGAGAGTAACATTGAATGCTGGGAGCACTGGAACCCAGAGGAAAATGAGATTAGCACGTTTATGCTAGCAGCTAGCATGCTTGCTTAACATGGGAGCTTGAAATCACATCAGAAATGGCATCTCGGTCAGCCTTGACAATGTAGGCAGTGGAAAATGCAATTATCAGTATCAGTATTCAGGGGTGGAAATGGGCCGGAATGCACTGGAACACCGTTCTGGAAGTAAGTTGAGACGGAATGGCGTTCCAGCCAAGATCTTGAAAATAGATGTAAATATTTTTATCAGGAAACCACGTATAGTTGTTTTACTCTAATCTAAAAAGAGTGCAGCGCACTTCAAGTTCAACTTAGAGTCCATTCAGCCAATTGAAAGTCATGCTGGGGGCGCTGAGGGTGCTGTGGCAGACTTCACCCTTCCAGTCTCCATGGTAACAACTGCCAATATGTGTGCGTTTGGAACGTGAAGGCACTCAAGAAACTCCACAATCGGTAATAAAAGTGGTGTTTTGTGTTCTAATTTCCACAAAGCTTAGTGGCGTTCGTTTTAATAACTGGTCAGCTAGTCAATATTAATTTGACAATTTTTTGTTTTTATTCCTAACAAATTTCAGCCAATGGGCTCGGTTTAAAATGGTCACTATAATTTAGCATACTAGTTGATAATAGGCTGATACCTAGCTAGCCTGCTGTAAGACCATTATATGATTCTTCATGGTTCCCCGGTAAAATCTGGCCATTTCCACCCCGTTAATATTTCAAAAATATTTGTTAATATTTCACATTTTTTGTAATTTAATATTAAGATAAAACATTTTCAGCTTGTTGAGTGGATAATCATTTGCAAATATTGCAGAAATCACAATGAAAACTGCAGGAAAAAAACATGCAGTAGATTTTAATTTTTGCATAAAATCCCTCGGATGGAAAAGCACTTTGGAGATTAGCTGAGACGTAAAGCTTAAAAATGATGAGTCAAAATCTCTTGATGGAAAAGTTTCAAATATAACTTTTTGATTTAATAAAACCAAACATCCTACAGCAGTTTTTGCAGGAAATTATATGAACTACCATTCAAACATTTGCAATCACTATTTTTCTTATAATGTTATATTCGTATGTTGATACTTATATAAAAAGATTCCAGTACGAAATTTTAAGACTAAAATATGTACATGATTTCATATACTGTAAAAAAAATAAATTAATTTGTTGGCCTGTGTAATATTTTTTGTCAAATGAACAAAGAATTTTAAAAATATTGAGTTAGAATATAATTTTTTTCAGTCCCACACAAACTTAGTGTTAGGAACACTTAAAATACTTTAATGTCCAAATTGTGAAATTTAGCTTAAATTTTTAAAATTTCAAAATTTCAAAAATCAAATAAGTTAACAACAACCAACCTAACTGCTGATTCTGTTATGTGAACTTATTATTTAGCATTCAAGAAATTACTATAAATATAGAATTACATTTTTATATTTATTTAGAATTTTTAAGTTATAAATGTCTTGAAAAAACAACTTTAAAACATTTTGAAAACATTTTTAATACTTAATTTCTTGAAAAACATTAAAATATCTTCTACTTCTAGCTTTTATTATTTCAGTCTATACTCTACAAGTTAATACTGAAAAAATAACAGCAGCTATTAATACGACAAGGGACTCCAGTGATTTATTTAAATGGCAGTGTATGCATTATAAGAACTGCCATCAATCAAGTTTGCAAACATTTTATTTAGTATATTTTGACACTTGCAAAATGCACATACAATTTTACAATTTTTCTAAGTTTTGTTTTTTTTAATTAATACATACCATATTTTTTAACCTCAAATTCAGTGCTGAATGTGTTCTCCTTCCAGTGGTCAAACTTCGCAGTAATCTTCCACTTCCCCTCCCTATAAAACAGTTGAAAATATTTTAAAAATGAAAACATAAAATTATATTACAAATATCTCATATCTCTACATACTTGACCAAGTCAGAGAGTCCATAAGTGTTAGAGAAGATGCCGTCCTGTGCTCTAGTCCGGCCTGAAGCATGGACTGTAATGTCATCAGGATTCTGAAACGTGAAACATGTAGAATAATGGCTTCCTCCATATTGTGTTTGTTTACAGTTTTCTTTTTTAATTCCTTACTAACTGTTTCTAATCCATGGACTGAAGCAGCTTTTTTTGTAATATTTGCTGATACCCGACTGTTCCATTTTTCTTTTTTCACTGCTGAGAAGCAAACCCACAGTATGAAGCTTCCGCCACCATGCTTCACTGCAGCAGAGGCACTGAGAGATGATCGTCCAGGTGCTTTGAGGAGGTGATGTTCAGGCAACGCCCTGATGCTCTTTACAAAGTTTGTGTCCTTGTATTTATATAAGTATTTTGTGTAGAATTAAACAACTTGCATTTACTATTTAAAAGCAAGGCAAATGCAAATTTATAATAGTATGACTGCCTTGGTAGTTGTGGTGTTAACAAATTTAGAGTGATTGTAAAGTGATGTACTGCTAGTCCTGAGATGGAAAGCGCATTATTACACCATTTTTCATTTCCTTGCAGAACAAAGTAAGTGACCAAGCTAACAGGCCTACCTGAATTTCTACTGAGATGGTGCCGTTGAATGCCTTGAATTCCACATCAGAAACAAAAGCTCGGTATCGCACTGCAAAAGAGAATCCAGGGTAGGAGGGTGGGGTGAAATTGAGGAATTCTTACAGGACAGGCTAAGAACAAGTATGGGTTCGGTAACATGCTCTCATTGAGCAACTGACCTTGAGCTTTCATTTCTTTCATACCAAGCAATACTAGTGATGGAAAGCGCATTATTACCACACACACTGTGGTTTGTTTCAATTAACAGATCTTGTTCATTTTTGTTCCATGTCATTGTTAGGTACTGTCAGTTCAACTAGAACTTGGACTAAATGTCAGAAACTACAATTCAGGGGTACTTTTATAATCAAATGTACTCAATTGCCAATTAGCATCATGCTAACTGCATGCCTGAATCATCACACACTTGCCTCAAACTGCATTGAGCTGTTAAGTAATCTCAAACAGATTTATGAATTATATATCGCTGTTGTCGGAAGAAAACCTCTACAAAATGGTAACTTTACAGGAGAAGGTAAAAACCTGCTATACTTTTAATGTAAGTCGATGGAACCAGACTTTTTTGCAAGTCATTTTAGGTCATTTCTTTTAGTCCATTCTTCACAAAATTTACACACAATGTAAAGGGTAGCAGGTATTTTCAAATTATGTCAAAAACTGAAAAACGTTTTCCTCCGACAGCAGCGATATGTAAGCTTGAATTTTGTCCAAACATGAAAAAGGCTGGTGTAGCGAGTTTTAGGAGAAATAGGAAGAGCGTTGGTGATTTTATGCCTTCAAGGCCCAGGTATGCCGGGCATAGTTACAGTTGCTAGGCTATGAAGGGCTAACTGGGTGATCCAACTTGCTATAGCGCCACCCTGAGGCAGATCAGTGCTGCATCACTGGTTAGTTAAGAATACCAAAGCTCGCCTATTGTGGGTGACGCAACTAAACAATGACCATTTTCCTGAATTTGTATTTCAGCATTTATTTTTCCCCAAGAAAGCATAACATCATAATAGGTTTATTTTGATGGACCCCACAGAATTTTTGTTTTGGGTCCAAAAGGTTAATGAAGAGGTTCCAGGTCCCCCAGGACCCCCTGTCTTTTACACCTAGAATATATCCAAACCTAACCTTTAGCATTAGGACAACACTGTAAAAAATGATGAAAAATAAAAATTAGGAGCTAATTAACAGAAACGAATAAAACGAATTCTAGGAAACTCCAACTGACAGTCATATCGAGAAATTTTATGGTAATTGGAATTTTCAGCTCTTAAAGCAGTACCGGTATCGGTCCCCGAAGCGTGCGGCACATAGTGCAGTGAGAGGGATCACCTGTGTCTCCTGGGTTGTAGATGGGTTTGTCGGTCTGGATGAAGATGTAGCCGGAGAGGAAAGACACTTTAATATTCTGCTCGCTTCGATAGAAGCTCCCGAACTTGGTGACCAGGTGGACAGACTTCTCCAATTTCTCTTCAGGGCGCAGGAGGCTCGGATCAATCTAATGAGGAGTTCAAAGACAGCAGCCCCTTTTTTATTAAGCAGTATCATTAATATGAAGTCGCAATACATCGGATCTAAAGTCAGGTGCCTTTCACAATATCCCACTTATTTAAAGGAGCAGTGGGTAAGATTTAGGGGGATCTACTGGATTGGAATACAGTACACCAAACCATGTGTTCATTAGAATATAATCACCTGTAACTACAAATCGTTGTGTTTTAATAAGCGCAGAATTTTGTGAGAAGTTTGAGATCACAAATTTTGACAAATGGAGGACTCACACTTATTATTTAGCACAAGAAAAAGCAAGACAGGGTGAATCCTTGTCATCAGGAAGCCAAAGGCTACGTTCACATTACCAGGTTGAAGTGGCCCAAATCTGATTTTTTGCCCTAACGTGACTCAGATCTGATGTTTTCTGAGCTGTGTGGACAAATAAATCTGATCTTTTCGAATCCGACCTGAGCCACTTTCATATGTGGTCCTAGATCGGATACGTATCCAATTCATGGCCATGCGACCTTACTGTAACGCTCAGATCGGAATTCGTGGTGAACGCTCAGATCGGAATTCGGAATAGTGGTTGGTATAGTGTAGGGGGTCACACCTCTGCTCTCCTTGCTGTAGGGTCCTTGGGCAAGACTCCTAACACTACCGTTACCCACCTGTGTAAAATGATCAAACTGTAAGTCGCTCTGGATAAGAGTGTCTGCCAAATGCCTGAAATGTAATGTAATTCATGTGCTTTTTTTCCCACTGCGCGTGCTCCATCATTCAGCGTTACCATGGCAGCAGCGCTGAACAGAAGTTAAAGCCTGTAAACGGTGGAAAAGCAGCTCATCTCACCTTTTTCTCCTTCGTCTCGCTCTAATAATGAAGCTGAGAGCTGATCAGAGTTAATGATCTTCTCAGCGAAGCTCGTTTTGCTCGTTAGTTTGTGATGATGATGAACGTGATTCATTCACGTGACGTTACTGAGTAGGATGTGCTCATGTGAGTCATTTCAGGACGCCGGTTCGTTCACATTAATGAGTGTGAATCATCGTGTCAGAGAGATCGGATTTGAGCAAAAAATCAGATTTGAGAAATGAGGCTTGTGAATGTGAATGTAGCCAAAAACATGAAGCAAAATGAAATCAGGTCAGGCGACGGCAGAAAACCTGACAGCCACCATAGGTTCTACTACATGCTTGGAAAGGGAGGGGTGAGGGGTACTCAGTTGGTTGCAATCTGCAACCTCACTGCTAGAGGCCTCTAATTCTTATATGCTGCACCTTTACATGTGCCCAAGATATGGTTTGATTGTTATGTTGAGACGTGAAGCTTGTTTCAGGAGAAATGTGAAGGAGGCTTTATTTCATTCCCAGAGCTGTAAAAGGTTTGGATTAAACACTGTGGAAGATTTCTGTCAGCTCAGTGTCAGAATTATCAGCTCTAAAATTAAGCTAAACTTAAAAATCTGGTTTAATGTGGTTTAATTCGCCAACATCCATTTCAAAATGATATCTAGCAATAAATAATCTCGTAGTTCAATGTTAAGTTCCGTTAGCTAGCTAAGTTATCCTTTCTTAGCTTAGCTGCTTATGTTGATGACAGTTAGCTTAATAAATTAGTCAGTTTAAAGACGATTGCACCAACTAACTAGTCTGACCGTTAAACCCGTTTTGTAGGTGATATTAGTCAGTTTGTGCATTCAGAACGTACTTTTCACACAAATGACGATCAACTAGCACATTTATGAGGAGATGTTAATTTAATATTGACCTACTACACCCATTTTTTTAGTCCGGGTTACTTGACATTTTGTGTTGTGTTATGTGGCCTGTTATCCTAAATGACTAGCTAGAGGATGGCTAACAAACAGCTGGGTCATTCTACAGAAACGTCCATTTTTGTGTCCCTAGCGTTTACAGATACATTTCACTTGAAAAAATGTTAGGGTTACAATTTATTTCTATTTTAAAATAAAACAACAGGTTATTTTAACAATTACACCTTCTTGAGCCTCAATTTAGCCATATTAGTTTTTAAATCAATCATACAGAATTCCAAGCAACACAAAAGTGCTCATCCCCACAGTCATGTGTAAAGGCTGGGGCCATATTTTGGGGAAAAAAAAAGATTCTGCAATTTTAATCTATACATGACTATGAAATATATGAATTAAATGACAAAGAAAACAAATGCCAAATAAATATTATAAAATATATAATAAAAATAATGTAAAATATATAATGTAATATATAATATATAATGAAAGCTGTTGTCCCCAGGAGTTGTGTCACTTTGAAATAAAGGACACACTGATGACATCACTTGACTTCCTTTTACCTGTTTTCTGAGGATCTATGAAGAAAAGCACATGGTGAGTCCACTGTGTCTTTCAGTTATCAGAGATTTTCTCATTTAGCTCATGATTTCATATGAAGCTTTTAGCTGAAGTCACTGGTGTGACCGACTTTATTCTGAGGTAATCGTCAAAAAATACAATACAAACGGATTAAATTCCATATTTTAGCGGATATTTCATGATTGACAACATGTGGTTTGATGCTCTGTAGCAGCCGTTTTGTAAAATGCATTGTTCATTAAAAATGTCTCTGGTGTTCCCTTTCTTATGTGTAACACCGATGACGATCGGTAACACCGGTGACTCCTATGGATAAATAGAAAAGTGGACGTTTCTGTAGAATGACCCGGATACACCAGAAAGGTAGAGCTACAAGAGAGAGATTCTAACAGTGTGGCCGGTGAGTGTAAATGCAGTAACTTCACCTCTACACTTTTAATGGCGCTGTAGCTGTTAGCCGCATTGAGGGTGACAGTGCCCTGCCACAGCAGGATAGATTTGGCTGGAAAATCATACAGTGTGAATGAGACGGTGACAGCCTCAGACAGACTGACCGCCTCCACCAGGATGTTCTCTTTACTCCCCACTCTCAGCTGAACAGGAGCCACCACACTGAACCTGCAACAAAACACAAGGCAGTCGTTTGCCATTAAGTCTTCTCAATGACGCGCAGACATGCGATCATTTCTGGTCTGTCCTGATCATGAAAAACGTCACACAAAGTTCAAGCCTGAAGTGTCTAACTTGGCTAATTAGCTTGCTGGCTTACACTACTGCACTGGTTTGTACACTGTCTACAATCGATCACTATCACAAAGCTCAGTTTTCTCTTGAGAGTGTGAAAATATGAGGAAGAACATATTCTGTGGCTGGTGGCACAGCTAGCTACCTAGCTAGCTACTGTCACCTTAGCACTACAAAGTGTCTACGAATAACAATCGACAAACCAACATACCATTCTACTTTCCATTCTGGTGAATTTATTGGTAGTTTAATAGCGCTTGGCGACTGTATCCATTCAGTGGCCAGTAGTATAAACGCTAATAACATTAGTATTAGTGACCTAGCTACTGTCACCTTAGCAAACTCTTTACAAAGTGTCTACAAATAGCAATCGAAAAACCAGCTTGCCATACAAATTTGTGACTAAAATGGACTTTCCAGTTATAAAGGCCTAGTATCTCCATGTTTGCCGATTTCTACCTTTTAACGTATTTTAATAACACCAGTTTCTTTTGATATTGTGTTAAAATTTCATGATGAATGGACCAATAGAAATGACCGAAAATTACTCGGACAAATATCTTCTTACATTTACTTAAATTCAAAGCTGTTTTTTCTTTCTCCTGTAAAGTTGCATTATAGCGATGATTTGCATCTAAATAAGAAAATTAAATTGTTTTTTTTAAACATTTGTTACTGTTTTCAAAAAAACGTCATGTGTTGGTGTCCGTGTGGGTGTTGACTTTGGGAGCTGGGTGAGGGGCTTGTGTTCTCACTTTGGTAGCAGGTCAAAGTCTGGCTCCTCTCTGCAAACACAGATAACACACTTAATAACAAACATTACAGCTGAATTTTAAACAGAGCACCAAAATCGTCTCCCAAGCAATATTAATCTTACACTACCATTCAAATGTTGTATTTAAATTGGATTTCAATAAAACATATTTTTAGATGTTTTATTCAATATTTCAAGAGTTGAGCAAACAAACAGCTGAACAAAAAAGTTCGAATAATAAAATGAAAACCGACTGTAATTATCGATTTTGGTCCTTTTTTTGTCATTATCTGCCTTGAGATTTGATCTCCATGTTTTGCGCTTAATTCTGGATTTTAATGTTATAACTTCATTTTTAATGTTTTACAGTTTTCCCAGTCATTTTAGAGTCTTCTACGGCTCTGTTCATCATTCTTGACACATCCAACATTTCTTCATCCTAGTGTCCTAATTATTTGAAAGTTGTGAAGTTAGTCATTGTTTACACTTGTCTGCAACCAAATAGGTTTTATATTATTGAAAATTGTGATTCCAAACTTTTGAACAGTAATGTATACGCAGATCGCCATGATTAATGTAAAAATACACAGATCATTTATGTTTTGTGAAACTGGTAGAAATTGGTAGCTTACTTACAGAGAAATGCGCCGATAATCATAGCTGTGGACGAAAAAAATGTAATGTATTATAACATATTGCTGTTGTCAGGAGAAAACCTTGTCGTTTTTCAGTTATTGCCATAATTTGGAAACACCTGTTGTTCTTTACATTGTGTGTAAATTTCATGATGAATGATCCAACAGGAACGGCCCAAAATGACTTGGAAAAAAGTCTGGTTCCATTGACTTACATTAAAAGTAAAGCAAGTTTTTTCCTTCCCCTGTAAAGTTACCATTTTGGAGATACGACAACAGCGATATACAAAGACGCTGTACTTTTGTTACTAACAGCTGATAAATTTTTCTGAGAAATTGGTGGTCTGTTTACTGAACATAAGGTTGATGGCTGGGGAGGAAGGAAAAGCATGTTTTTACACAAATTTTGCTATTTCAAACCAGTTAACTTATGATGGAAAGTTATTAGAAACATACCGTACATGCGGCTCCCACCAGCGCCTGCATTCAAATCATATGTTAGAACAAGGCCAAAGTCAATGTGAATGATATGCAGTTTGTTAAGCACAGGATTAGTTTAAACACCTACAATTGGTTTTCCAAAAACATTTCGCTGTTGTTGGAAGAAAACCTCATATCTCCAAAATTACAGCTTTACAGGAGAAGGAAAAAACTTCCTTTACTTTTAATGTAAGTCAATGGAACCAGACATCTTTCCAAGTTATTTCGGGCATTTTGGTCCATTCATCATGAAATTTTGTCAAAAAATTTTGTTAAAAACTGAAAAAATGACAAAATTGGAGATACAAGGTTTTGTCCCGACAACAGCAATATCAAGTGTTGCACTGTGCTGTAAATTCCAAGATAAGCCTTAATGTTGAGTTACTCACCAATTATGAGATGGAAACTGGGCATTTAAGTCACCACAGATGGACATCAGCCATAAGAATATTGTTAAAGAAAGCATCCTTACTGAGGACCGACTACACACAGTGTGCTGACATCTCACCAAAGCAAATGCAAAACCAAAAAATGAAGTGACTTTACTCTCCCAGCCCACTTCTATCTGGAAAACTCTTACACAATCTTCAGTCAATTGCAGATCAATGGCTGGTTAGAAGATCACAGTATAGAAACACTGTCGGCTAACACAAACCTAGTTAAGCATTTCTGGGACAAAATGAACCTAAATCACTCTAGATACACTATATGGCCAAAAGTATGTGGACACCCTTCCTAATTATTGAGTTCAGGTGTTTCAATCTGTTCCATTGCTAACAGGCAAATACACCGATCAGGCATAACATTATGACCACCTCCTCATTTCTGTGCTCCAGCCACCACGTCAGTGTTACTGCAGTGCTGAGAATGATCCACCACCCACATAGTACCTGCTCTGTGAGGGTCCATGGGGGTCCTGACCACTGAAGAACAGGGTAAAAGGGGGCTAAGAAAGTATGCAGAGAAACAGATGGACTACAGTCTGTAACTGTAGAACTACAAAGTGCACCTATATAGTAAGTGGAGCTGATAAAATGGACAATGAGCGTAGAAACAAGGAGGTGGTCATGATGTTATGCCTGATCAGTGTAAATTCATGCACATATTCATGCAGTCTCCATAGACAAACACTGGCAGTAGAGGGTCGTACTGAAGAGCTCAGTGACTTTAAACATGGTACTGTCATAGGTTGAATCCTTTGCCACAAGTCAGTGCATTACAATCCCAGCCCTGCTAGATCTGCCCTAGACAACTGTAAGTGCTATTATTGTAAAATGGAAGCAAACCACTCAAACTCACAAAGTGGGACCCCCATCACTCACTACTGCCTCTGGAAGCAACCTCAGGACAAGAAGTGTGTGTCAGATTGCTATGCACAATGCCAAGCGTCGGCTAGAGCAGTGTAAAGCACGCCGCCACTGGACTCTGGAGCAGTGGAAACAGTTTTCTGGAATGATGAATCGCGCTTCATTATCTGGCAGACTGACAAAACTGGGTTTAGCGGATGCCAGAACACCACCTACTGGAAAGCCTAGTGCCAACAGTAAAGTTTGGAGGAGGAGGGATAATGGGCTGGGGCTGTTTTTCAGGATTTTGTTTTGACATCTTAGGTCAAGAGTAATGCTAAAGCCTCAACATAGACATTTTAGTCTATTATATTATTCCAACTTTGTCACCACAGTTTGAGGAAGGCCTTTTGACAGTCGGGTGTCCACATACTTTTGACCATATAAAGTATGTCTAGGTAGTGGACAACTCTCAGTTTGTACCGTCTCCAGTGGCGTCGCACGGTCTGATGCATACTGTGACTAGCTGTTAGCAAGACTAGCTTTACTAGTAGATAACAACTGAACTAAAACTAGCAATGTTGTAATGGCTACATGACTCAAAGCTCGACGTTCCCCTAGCTGTTCAGAAGTGAGCCTCAGTACTTTTCTGTCTTGAGTCAAAATTTTACATACATTGGTGGAAACGATCATTGTTCATTTTTGTGCAAATCCTACTCTACTGGGGAAAAAAACAGCACAGACCAGCTGGTTTATGTTGGTCTAATGATGGTCTGGTGCTGGTTTAGCTGTTCACTTAGCATGGTTGTGCTGGTTGACCAGCAGATAGTAATTTGCTAGTGGTTATACATTGTATATCTGCATATGTCCCAGACTACACCTTACTTTAGTGTAAGATTATTGTCTTGTATACAAGGTCTAACTAATTTTTAATATCTTTAAACATTTTAAATGCACATAGTCTTTTATTTTGGACATTTGGGGGATTTATTTTGGAAATCTATAATAAGACTAATTTAAATTTATTTTGTTAAAAATGTTGCTGACACTGTGTTGGTTACAGCTGCATAACCAGCTTTATGGATGATTTTGCTGACAAAATTATTTATAACAGTAATATACAAAGCATTATGGTTCGAAGAAATAAAGGAAAAGTAAGTAAATTAGACCGTGAGTGTAAAATAAGCACTGAAAAGTGATATTTTGTCAAATACTCTGCTTTAATACAGGTGGGCCACTCAGAAAATGCTGACCAAAAAAGCCAGTGGGCCACCAGCGTTGCCTTAAGCAGGCCAACAGTGGCCCACTATCATTTTGCTATGCGGGAAACTTGATTTTTCACCTGTTACTGTTAAAGTAGAAACAAAGAAACTAAGGTTACATCCTGGTGTATTTTCACAGATTGCTTACATATTGGGGAATGAAAAGCCAATCGTAAAATCAATTCTCTCAGACAAAGAAAGGGAATAAAGACCAAATCCCGCTTCGTGTAAAAATGGTCTCATTTGATTGTATGTGCACTGGATGCAATGCCAGCTAGAACGGCGCAAAGCTGGTGACGCATGATCCAGGTCAATGGTCATATATCAGGACAGATGTAGGTCCTCTCTGTAAACACAGATAACACTCTTACCGGAATATCCCAACAAACATTAATACTACTGACCACACGAAAGGACCAACAACGCCGCACAATTTAAAGTATGATCAATTTAAGCAAATAAGGCAACTAACATTTTCATTAATGTTAATTTGGCCACTGCATGCAAGAAGCCCCCATAGTGTGATGCTCCCAGGTTTTGGGGGGCTGGGGGGTGGGCTGAGTGCTTCCTACTCTTAAGACTACTAACCATGGAGGGCATTAAAGGGATTCAAATACATGATGTGATTATCAGGTGGTTAGGCAGTTGTGCCACTCTGTGCAGATACTTGACTGTTTTTAAGCGGACCTGACTTTCATTAGATGCGAAGCCCCTCAAGGACCTGACTTCCTCATTTAGCAGGGCTCCATTAGCAGGCTGAAAATCCTCCACACTGGGTGGCTTACTTGGCTACCTTACGGAGGACAAAGAAAACTGTTCAACTTATATTTTTTGTAAAAGTTCCCCTCAAATTAACAGAACATGTGTTTTATGATCATACATATTGCTATATGCTTACAATTTACTGCTGAAAGCCAAAAATCTTAGACACTCTTTGTATTTTTTTTATAAAAAGTAATTTTCACAGAGCAGATCACTGAAGAGACGCCATCTGTTTATAGTTTGTAGCCCAGATTTGTGGAAAAATGGGTCGACTTTCAGTAGACAAAAAAAGCTTCTTTTATTGTAAGGGTTTAAAATGACATCACCCATCTCTTTGACTGGAAAGAAGACAGTTACAGCTCTCATACGACCCCCACCTTTAGAATGTAGCTTATGAAATATGAAAGTTATGATGAATATGACGAAGTGTGTTTTGGAACCACCGGTGGTCTCAAGCAGTTGAAGAGAAAGTACGGTTAATAATTATTTCAGCAGAGGCAGATACTTTTTTGTGATTTTATTTGGTGGGGAAAGTGGGAAAAGAGCTTTGAGACACATTTATAGCTTTAACTGGTTAGTCAACAAGGTGCATGCTTTAAAAAAAGACAATAAGGTCACGTTGTAAGCCGAAGTCCTCTCCGATTACATATGATGTCTTTTCTTTAAATAGGTGGGCTGTTGTGTGTCCAGTTCTGAATAATAAATCTTCAGAGCTTCCTTACTGTCCCGAATCCGAGTCCGAGTCGCTGTAGTCCGCTACTAGAGACACCCCAGCGCAGAGTTTGGTGCTGCTGTCCACTGGGGCCTTGTCCTTTATACTCTCTGCTGCGTTTGCTGTATAAACGTCCTGTCTGTCCTCTAAGGACAGTGTTGAAGGGGAGTTGCCGTTTATGTGCTTGTCCTCTAGGTCGGCTTGTTCTGGAGTGACTGTGTTTGGGCTTGAAACAGGCTGGGGGTGGGAGTCGTTGACGCTGGAAGTAGAAGACGGCGTCTGGCTGGGGCTGCTTGATGTTGTGCTGCCCCCGTCTGACCTCCTGCGCACTAGGCTTATTGGGCTGGGCGGCGCGCAGCTTAGTGCTTTCGAAACAGCAGCATCTCTGCCCTGCTGGCCAAGCTTCTGCAGCAGACCGCCCAGAGCGCCCCCCGATGGAGTGGAAGAAGAACCGAACCAGGAACGAGACGAGATCTGCTGCCTCTTAGACTGCTGCCTGTCATCATATGCTGAGAGAGCGAGGGAGAAAGGGGGGGGGGTGGAAAGAGAGTAGTCAAAGAGACTTTTCAACTTCATACACCAGAATCAGAGACAACAAAATGGCAAAAAATACAAAAAAAAAAATGTACAATTTATTCCATCACCCCAAATGCAGTTAATTGGCCAAGACATGTTTGGGGTCTTCTTTGCTTCTTTAGTTTTGCTATGAGGCTAATGTAGATAACAAGTAATGGAATCCCCTTATTACATCCACTTATACCCTGATATAGCTTTCACTCCTAACATAATATTATCTATAAAAAGGGACAGTACTCAGTACTCATGCTTCAGAATGCTGCAATTTTCAGTTATAGGGTATTTATCAGTAATGGGATACATTAGCTTCATAGCTAAAAACACCATGTATCTACAGCTGGGCGAACACTGTCTCTAAAGTTACTGAAATGGAGAGCATCACAAACTGAACGTCCGTTTGTCACAGACGACTAAATTTACGATAAATGGATGAAAAAATGGATCCAAAAAACGCATTAACTGATAAATTAGAAGTGACTCAATTGATAATTACATTAAAAAAATCATAACTTACAGTCAGGGCTCTGAAAGGTAAGCAGAGAGGCGAGTTTTTTGTCCTCCTCTTTCTCCGGTAACAGAGGGATGGCCAGACCCGTCCTCTTCCTCACAACATTGTCTTTCTCCTCCTCTTCAGCTATCACTTTCTTTTCTTCCTGTGTTCAATGGGAACATACAGACAGCACAAAGAAAGCTGTTTGGCACTGAGAGGACTGTGAGAAAGTTGTGAGATGCTGTCTTATATCTTCAAAACAGACAAACTGGGATGAGGGAAACACTGGTTTAAGTAAACTGATTCACTTATTTAAGACATCCTATTATGGCAAATGTTATGTCAAACACTACATATGTCTTAGAGAAGTGCTGCAAGGTTTTGCAACACTGATAACTAAATGAATATTAATAAAATAAAGAGTCACTATCTCCAATGAAACATGAGTGGCTAGAGTAGTGTATCTAACACTTATTAACAAGTTTTAGAACTACTTGTTTCCAGTCTGATCTAACTTTTACATGTTTGCAGTGACACTGGAAGCTCTGAATGGCCCTAATCAATAAAACCTTTGCAACTATACTGCACTTCTGTGAGGACATACATTTAGATATATACGCATACATATAACTACATATCGCTGCTGTCGGAAGAAAACCTCGAACCCCAAAATGGTAACTTTACAGGAGAGGGAAAAAACCTACTTTACTTTACTAAGTCAATGGAACCAGATTTTCATTTTGGGTCATTTCTTTTAGGCCATTCATCATGAAATTGGCACATGATGTAAAGAGCAACAGGCATTTTTAAATTATGTTAAAAACTGAAAAACAACAAAAGTAGAGATGTGAGGTTTTGTTCATACAGCAGCGATATACTCCTTCATAGCACAGGCCTGTATAGCTATACTTTAGAACTATACAGTATCAGGCGTAACATTATGACCACCTCCTTGTTTCTACGCTCATTGTCCATTTAATCAGCTCCACTTACTATATAGGAGCACTTTGTAGTTCTACAGTTACAGACTGTAGTCCATCTGTTTCTCTGCATACTTTGTTTTACCCTGTTCTTCAGTGGTCAGGACCCCCATGGACCCTCACAGACCAGGTACTATTTGGGCGGTGGATCATTCTCAGCACTGCAGTAACACTGACGTGGTGGTGGTGTGTTAGTGTGTGTTGTACTGGAGTGGATCAGAAACAGCAGTGCTGCTGGAGTTTTTAAACACTGTGTCCACTCACTGTCCACTCTATTAGACACTCCTACCTTGTCAGTCCACCTTGTAGATGTAAAGTCAGAGACGACAGCTCATCTGCTGCTGCACAGTTTGTGTTGGTCATCCTCTAGTCCTTCATCAGTGGTCACAGGACGCTGCCCACAGGACGCTGCTGGCTGGATGTTTTTGGTTGGTGGACTATTCTCAGTCCAGCAGTGACACTGAGGTGTTTAAAAACTCCAGCAGCACTGCTGTGTCTGATCCACTCAGACCAGCGCAACACACACTAACACACCACCACCACGTTAGTGTTACTGTAGTGCTGAGAATGATCCACCACCCAAATAGTACCTGCTCTGTGAGGGTCCATGGGGGTCCTGACCACTGAGGAACAGGGTAAAAGGGGGCTAACAAAGTATCAGAGAAACAGATGGACTACAGTCTGTAACTGTAGAACTACAAAGTGCACCTATATAGTAAGTGGAGCTGATAAAATGGACAATGAGCGTAGAAACAAGGAGGTGGTCATAATGTTATGTCTAATCGGTGTATATGATGGCAAATATCATGATTATTACCAATGTAGCTACATTGATACACTATTTGAGCATAATAGTTTCGGGTGTTTACAAAAAGTACCCCACACCTATGGTACAAGAGTGTGACCCTGGCAGGCAGTGGTCCACGCACGTTTACTGCACATACCCTAAACTTCCTGCGGAGCGCGCTGTTGAGCTGAAAGTCGTCCTTCCATCCAGCTTGGTGATCCTGTAGCTCAGAGAGGGAGGGAATTGCTGCACGCAGCTTCTCTTTGTCTTTTCCACCGTGATCCAGCTTGTACATAGCATCTGTCTCCAGCTTCTCCTTCTCACTGTGCTCTGGCAGAGGAACAAGAGGAGAAGACAACGTCAGGGAAAACAGAGCCACTTGAGGAAGGAGAGAACATTACTGAAAGCATTAAAAGTACATGGGTGTTTCTGTGCTGTTTATGTTTCTGTTCTGTACCAGTGGTGAGAATCTGTTCATTGTCAGCCATGTCCCATCTCTCCTCTTTCCTCCTTGCTCCACTCACGATGACGTAGTCACAGGTGGCTGGGTCTGTCTGCATCTCAATGTAGTTCACACACAGGTGACACTTCATTCTAAACCTAGGGTTACAGGCACAAACAGGTTAACAGGTCATTTCTTTACTACACTATAATACTTACACTATAACACCAGTCTTTTAATATACAGGGTGATTCAAAAAGATTCATCCAATTTCGAAATGATTTATTTCACTTGTAAATCATTACAGATCAATGCAGTGAACTGTAAATGGTTTAAATGAGCATAAAGTTTATCATGTAATTGTACAAGTGCTCAGTATGAACCTCCTCCAGCTGTACGGACGACATCAACGCCATAGTCAAATTCATCCCATACTCGATTGAGCATGGCAGGTGTCGCTGCACTCACGGCTCTTTCAGTGTGATTTCAGAGATCATCCAGTGTTGTTGGGAGTGGCACAAACAGAATCCTTAATGTACCCCCACAAAAAAAGTCACACGGCGTGAGATCTGGTGATGCTGGTGACCTTTTTCTTGGAACTGGTTCCTAGGCGCCTCACGGTTGTAAAAAGATGGCGCTTTGAAATCGGATGAATCTTTTCAAATGACCCTGAGTATGTGTGTGTGTGTGTGTGTGTGTGTGTGTGTGTGTATATATATAAGAAGGCTTTTGTGCACTTATTTGTGTTCTGGATTTTCTGCATTCACCTTATGAACAGCCACTGACTAGGGCAAGAGTTCCCAACCTTTTGCAACTTGCAGCCCACACAAATGACCACCAACGCTTCCGTGACCCACGTGAAGATTTAACTGATCCGACAGCTTTTTCTCACCTTTAAGGTGTAATAACTGATGTTGTTTGGCAACTACCAAGTGCAGCAGGTCAGGCCAAAGAGAGGACAGTTGTAAAACGGAGGTCAGACTCAATTCAATTTAGATACTCACAACATTTGGTCTCCAGGTGACAACATTGGCCTTCAAAGACTGATCTGACGACAACTCTGAGCGTACAACAGAGACATAGTAGCCTAGTGCTTGGTACACACTGCTGTATTTTCATCTTTTGGTTTATGCTGGTTTTTCTTAAGTTTTCTCAGTGGGAGGTACAGTGGCTGCTTTATGTGTAGCGAAAGCTCAAACTGGGGATTAATACGGGGTTGAGAAACGCTAATATATGTTATAGTGATTATAGTGAGAGCTGGAGAAATATTTCACTGCAAACTGGCAGCTGAGCTGAATTGTTTTAACAGAATGCTGTCATGATCTACTCTAATTACCTAGTTACCTGTATATTGGTGTAGTGTAGTAATTCCCCACTTTCTTCTTTTCAGCATTATACCGGACCCCTAAAAAGTCAAGACACAGTTCGAGATGAGACACGCGGGGTGAAAATGTGGGTATAGATGTGTGAAGAATCACCATTGTTTACATACGAAGCCCTGGATGCTTACCCATGCCTATGTGATTCTTACAGCCATCACACCAGATGTTGTACGGCATCTCAAACCTGTAAGCACAACATGGATCTCAAGGTCATCTGCAAGGACTCATGCAAACGTGATCACGCTTTGGATGAGTGTCCCTCACAATTTTCTTCAACCTTGTTCCCTTCTGGGCAAAGCGCTCCATATCTTACCTCTCTCCCAACCCCTCGCAGGAAATCACTGTCGGAATGGTGAGAAAAAGTCCAACTGCCACCAATTGATAACATTCCGATGACGTCACAATCGCGCTGCCACTATTTTAGATGGCAACTTCAGGTTGTGCTGTCGCCCATAGATTTACATACCTAGGTGCCGCGTTGGCTGTTGTTCTCTGAGGCGATACGTCTGAGCGTCCGCCATGTTGGAGAGGTCACTTGTGAACAAATTCACTTGTATTGAGAGACGAAGAGTCTCAGGATTAAATCGGCCACAACTTCCTTATTACTCAACCGATTTTCACCACATTAGTTTTGTTCTAATCCTCAGACACAGATTAATCTAGTCTGCACGGACGGCTCTCGGTAGCTTTTATTACTTTAATAACTGATTGTTATTATAACTTCTTATTTGCCAGCTTCTTGTTCAAGTTTTCCCGTTCCACCTTAAATAAAGCAGAAGTCATTACTTTCTGGTGCCTGAAGCTGCACCATTTAAGGTGGAACGGGAAAATTCGAACAAGAAGGTGGCAAATAAGAAGTTAACTTCTGGTTTGTGTAAGAAGATGCTAACATTAATCTATTATGAATATCTACACAGATTAAGGAACGCTATAACTTACCCAACTACACAGCTTTAACCATCACTGTAAATAAATAACTACTACATAAAGTTAAGATCCTGAATAGACGATTAAATGAAATAAGCTTAATATAAAACCAGAGGAAAAACAAACAATCACATCAACAGGTTCTCTGTGCTTCACCAACCACACGGCCATATCTACACAAACATCACACAGACAATACACATCACACAGACATGAGTGTGGATCACTGCGTTCCCTCCGTTATATAATCCTATCCCACTTTCTGAGTGTAATATTCCTGAAATAGTGTAATTTTGGACAGTATCTTTCTTAAACTGCTGCTCTGTAATGGTACTGAATGCAGTCCAATAGTGATCTTGACCGCCCTAAAATTGCGGCGCAGTTGACGTGCCTGGCTGGACCCAACGTGGCATCTAGGTATGTATATCTATGGCTGTGGCTGTTTGTAATGAGATAACAAAGCCATAACCGATAACCGAGCTGGTCTAGCAAAAGCTAAAGCTTCAGCCTCAACGCTCTCAAGATGCCATTCATTCCACCATATGTAAAATACTGCACATACTTGTGGACCACTGTTCTGGGTGAAGGTGGGACTGGACTGACAGACAGAAAATCTGCACATACCTGATGATGAGGATGCCCTGTGAGAGTTTCCTGGCTCTCTCCCGCAGCGGGTGAGTGTTCCAGTACCCGTTGATGGAGCCATGCTGTAGAGCAAAACAGTCAGACAGCAAATTACAAATCACATCTGGGCTCAGATCTCTAGTCTTTACGTTCGTGCACTGAATAAACTAAAAGATTTCTGCCAAAGACTGTCCTCACCTTAGCAGGGTCAAAATCTGGGGGGTAGTACTTGTTGACTCCTTTTCTCTCTCCCTAAAGAAGGCAAAGGTTAAAGTTATGCATATATCACACGCTGTAAGACACAATCACTACTAAAACAACTAAAACGACGAACCATGTTGCAGGTTGAAGTTCAGCTTTCTCTCACGAAGCTGCCGGGTATGACACCTGGAAGAAACAAGCGAGAAAATACAAAGCAAAAATTACGTCTTCAATAACAAACTGATGCTAAGTTTGTAAGTTAACAAACAAATATTGGTAATATAAGTGGTTTTAAAGAGCATTTCTCTTTGTAAGTTACTGTCAATTACTTCTATAGCAAATTGAGTGACTAACAAAAGAGAGTAGAACTGTTCTAAAAGGGCCTAGATCCTACATTTTTCTTATATTTCCATTTTTCCCCCGAAGGCCCACTTTAGATATCAAAAACAGTGAATGCGTTTACATGCACTCAGTAATCCGATCACAGATTATTCAAAACGGTCATGTAAACAGGACACTCTGATTTCTTAAATTGGAGTAAGGTCTAGAAATCTGATTAAGACATCAGATAAAGAGGCTGGATTTTAGCTCAGTGATCAGATTTCTCAGTGCATTGAACTCTTACTCTGATTTCTTTCGGATTTCTCAGTCTGTGCATGTGCGAAAACAGACTGTGGCACTGGAAATAAGCCACCAGCCTTGCCGCGAGATGGCAGCCAAACACTTTCTGAAACCAACTACAACCCCATTTCCAAAAAAGTTGGGACGCTGTGCAGAATGTAAATAAAAATAAAATGTAATGATGTGCAAATCATGTAAACCATATTTTTAAAGGAAAATACTACAAAGACAACAGATCAAATGTTGAAACATTTGTTTTTTGAAAAATATTTGCCCATTTTGAATTTGATGCCAACAACATGTTCCAAAAAAGTTGGGACGGGGGTCTGTTTACCACTGTGTTTCATCAGCTCTTCTTTTAACAACATTCTGTAAGTGTTTGGGAACTGAGGAGACACTGCTGTAGTTTTGAAAGTGAAATGTTTTTCCCATTTTTGCTTAACATAGGATTTCAACTGCTCATCAGTTCAGAGTCTCCTTTGTCATAAGTTTCATTTCATAATGCGCCAAATGTTTTCAGTGGTGACAGATCTGGACTGCAGGCAGGTCAGTTTAGCACCCAGATTCTTTAATAAGGAGCAATGCTGCTGTAATACATGCAGAATGTGGTTTTACATTGTCTTGCTGAAATAATCAAGGCCTTCCCTGAAAAAGACGTCATCTGGATGGCAGCACATGTTGCCAAATCATGTATATTTCGTTGAGTATTAATGGTGCCTTCACAGATGTGCACGTCACCCACGCCATGTGCACTAATGCCCCCCTATACCATCATGAATACTGGCTTTTGAACTGTGCACTGATAACAAGCTGAGTGGTCTTTAGCCTGGAGGACACAGTGTCCATGATTTCCAAAAAGAACTGTTTTCACAGACAGTGGTTTTCAGAAGTGTTTCTGAGCCCATGCAGTGATTTCCACTACAGAATCATGTCTGTTTTTAATGCAGTGCTGTCTGAGGGCCCAAAGATCACGGCCAGCAAATACTGGTTTTTGGCCTCGTCCCTTACATACAGAGATTTCTCCAGATTCTCTGAATCTCTTAATGATATTATGTACCGTAGATGATGAAAAGCAGAAGTTATTTTTTTATTACACAACTTTACCAGCCTTTTGTTGCCCCATCCCAACGTTTTGGTATGTGTTGTTGGCATCAAATTCAAAATGGGCAAATATTTTTCAAAAAACCAAAAAGATTTCTCAGTTTCATCATCTGATATGTTGGCTTTGTACTTTTCAATTAAATACAGGGTTTAAATGACTTGCATATCATTTCATTTTGTTTTTATTTACATTTTGCACAGCGTCCCAACTTTTTGGGAAATGGGGTTGTGTATCCTTCTAGATGATGTTTGTATGTTTCAGATAAAGTGCCGCAATGTTTAAAAAACAGCCGCAGCATAAAGTTTGAGTTTTGCGTTATGTTTGCGTCACGTCCTCTTCTGTGAGTTTATTGGCTGGTTGCAAAGCAGAAATCCGATTACTGCCCAACTCATGTAGACCCGGAGTTTCCCCATTATCTGATTACTCAAGAGCATGTAAACGCATTGATCGGACTACTGGCAAAATCTGATTTTCTGCAGTTATCAGATTATAAAGTGCATGTAAACACAGTCAGTGATTAATTTCTACATGACCTTTTTCCAACCTTGTGGCCACGACTTAGTAAAGCGTGGGAACGAGATCCTTATGCCCGGCCATGACTTAGTAAAGCGTGGGAACGAGATCCTAATGCACGGCCACGACTTAGTAAGGCGTGGGAATGAGATGATTAAGTCGTGGCCACAACTTAGTAAAGCGTGGGAACGAGATCCTTATGCGCGGCCACGACTTAGTAAGGCATGGGAATGAGATGATTAAGTCGTGGCCACGACTTAGTAAAGCGTGGGAACGAGATCCTTATGCCCGGCCACAACTTAGTAAAGCGTGGGAACGAGATCCTAATGCGTGGCCATGACTTAGTAAGCCGTGATCTCGTTTCCACGCTTTACTAAGCCGTGGCCACGCATTATTTTTATTTATACAGGATGTCACCAGCGGGGCTCCGTAGATTTCTTTCACCCGCTATAGTGTTCAGATTTCACCATTCCACCTTAAATGGTGCAGCAGCTAACTTACAGGGTAACCGCTGCACCATTGAAGGTGGAATGGTGAAATCTGAACACTATAGCGGGTGAAAGAAACCCAAACAGCTCTGTCTCTCTGACAAGACGACGTCTGAACCGTCCCCGGGACTGAAACGCTGGAAATGTCCGCCGCCAAGTCTGTTTTTCAGCAGGAGGAATGATAATATGATCAACACAGCTTCACACCTTCCGTTAGCTCGCTAGCGAAAACGCTAACAACACTGCGGATTCTGCTTCTCGGCGTTTTCCAGCAGCGCCGACCCGGAGACTCACTGGCGAAAACTTAGGATCCGGTGTGAGATACATAACACAGCGCTGCAAAATCGGAGGAATAACACCGAAATAGCCCAAAACTCACCAGAGTAAGGAGTCTGGAGTTCAGCCTGTTAACTGCGCTTGTATTTCGTCGACGCTGTTCAGTCGTTTGCACAGCGCCCCCTCAGGAGCGGAGGCCGCACTGCCACGACTGAGCTGCTTTGCTGGATGAGATTAAATTAGTTTTTTCAGTGTCTCATGTGTGGAGCTCGTCTCCGCCACTGGAATAACAGAAATAGCTTTACTCACAGTAATGAGACAGACATCTATCTATCTGTCTGTCTGTCTGTCTGTCTAGCTATCTAACCACCCACCCATCCATTCATCCATCCATCCACCTATTCATACATCTAGCTATCTATCATAATAATGACTGAGCATCTCATTTTTAGTGTCTCATTATAATGAGAAGGTTTCTCATAATTATAATCTAATATTTCAAAATAAATATTTACTATCTCATAATAGTGAGAACGTTTTCTCATAATCATGGGAAAGTTAGTTATAATCATGACAGTAAGTCATTTTTATGAGACACTAAGTCATAATTATGAGACACCAAGTCACTGAGATAGCAAGTCATTATGAGGTCGCAAGTTATAATTATGACAGTCATTAGTATGAGATTCTAAGTCATAATAATGAGATACTGGGTCATAATTGTAAGATAGTAAATCATAATTATGAGATGCTAAGTCATAATTATGACAGTAAGAGTAAGATAAAGATAGCAAATAATTGAGATAAGTCATTATGAGATAATGAGTCAACAAGTCATAATTATGACTGTCATTTTCATGAGATACTACATAATAATTATGAGATAGCAAGTCATAATTATGAGTCATTATTATGAAATGCTGTCATAATTATGACAGTCAGTAATTTTCACGAGATACTATGTAATAATTATGACATAGCAAGTCATAATTATGACAGTCATTATTATGAGATGCTATGTCATAATTATGTAAAACACTTTCTTTATTATAACTTACTAAATGGCTATATATATATTTTTTTTTCCAGTGACAGAAACAGGCTTCCATCCTTATCTACTCCGTTTTACTGAATTCAGTTGTACCACCAAAGCTGTCAGCTCCTAAAACCTGATGACGGTTGTTTTAAACCGGTGATATCAGATTCATAAGTCATGGTAAAATGTACCAATAATGAGAGAACATGGGGTTCACGTTTAGTTTTTCACAGAACTCAATGAGTTTAATCATCTCTAACTTTATTTAATTGATTTTTTTACATTTCCTCGAAACAGTAAAACCCACGCTTTTGAACGGTTTCGGGCCAATCGCCAAAAAACCGGCATCATGCTAGAAGTTAGCGCATTAGCGCAGAGTAACTGCAGCACCCAGCACTGAGCTGGAGCTCGGCTCACGGCTTCATCTTACCAGAAGCTGAAAGTCAAACTGAGCGCACAGGTAACGGTACTGGTCACTGTACTTAAACAGTGTGAAAAAGTAGCGTTAGTAGCTATAATCCTGTCCAAACTTGCTGTTTTTGGTCTTGTTCGCGCTAGCTAGCTATGCTAGCTATGCTAGCTATGTGGCGGTCCGGCAGTAGGGGAAGCCCTCTAAGAAGGAGGATCACCGTTTGGCACCCAGGTGGAGTGAAAATACCCTCTTATTATTTGTGATCTGGAACACATTCGCTCGGAATAGTTGTGCCATGTCTACCAATTGAGATAATACGGTGTGGGCCAACACACAGGCATTTTCCTTCTGCCCATCACTGTCTGATGGAACGTCTCTGGAATTCATCTCATGAAAGTGTGTCCAGGTGGTCGGCCTGGAAGTCTGGATTCCAGAGCCTTTTTTCCATCCATCACTTGATGAATTTGTATTAAAAAAGTTGTAGGCAGATACCAAGATTAAACACACTGGCCACACTACCTGTTGTCCTAAGCCCTGTTGGAGCTGGATTAGTTTCACCAGGGGAGGTGCTGTGATTTGGGTGATTATCAGATCTGTGATTTTAATCCAAAATGATCCAGCATGTCCGTAGTTTTTACAAGTAGAATTCCGGAGTGAATTACCTTCTACAGTCATTTTTTCAACTCCTTGGGACCACCACTGATTCCAAAATGCACTTCGTCATATTCTTCATAACTTTCATATTTCATAAGCTTCATTCAGAAGGTGGGGGTCGTATGAGAGCTGTAACTGTCTTCTTTCCAGTCAAATAGATGAGTGATGTAATTTTAAACCCTTATAATAAAAGAAGCTGAACTCACAATTTTTTTGTCTACTTAAATTTGACCCATTTTTCCACAAATCTGGGCTATAAATTATAAACAGATGGCGTCTCTTCAGTGATCTGCTCTGTAAAAATTATTTTTATAAAACAATAATACGATTATTTTTGGCTCTCAGCAGTACATTGTAAGCATATAGCAATATGTGTATGATCATAAAACACATTGAGGGGAGCTTTTACCAAAAAAAAAAATGAAATAAAAATTTACATTTATTTCATGCAGTTACTGAATAATTTGCCTTACGATTTGTTGATGTAAATATAGATGGACAAACCAAAATATACCCTGGAGAATAATATCTCAAAACTGCTCAGAGCGCAGACAGAACCGTAGAATTCCAAGGGGATCACCTGTCTGTAAAGCAGTTTGAGCTGCCACTAGTATGAAAAGTGCCTTATAAATAAAGATATTATTATTATTATTATTATTATTTATCTCGTCTCACAACTTGGCAACCATCTTCTCATATACTTCACGGTAACAGTACCATTTAAAATGAGGAAAAAGGGAAAATCCCCCTTTCTTTGTGGACGTGTGTCGAAGGGTGCTGTGAGTTGCCCTGAAGAAAATCTAGAATATGAGTTTGAAAATGTCTGAAATAGTTGAGAAATGAGTCAGGAATATTCAGAGGTAGGAGGGATAGAAAGCAGTAGATCACAGCTGCAGTTAAAGTGTAAGATGAGTTTTGGTCCACCTACCAAAGATTTCATTTTCTGAAGTAAAGGACTGATATTTTCTCTGAGCATATCTTTGTAATCAGGAGTTTTTTGAGTGCCTTTCAAAGACAACAAAACGTCCACTGATGAAACAGAGTAGATGGGCAACAACCTGGTAAGGGCATAGCTTTAGTTTAATGTTTAGTTAATATGATGTCCAGGTAATAATGTGAATTCCTCAATACAGTTTAATGAGGCAGGAATAGATTTTTCTGGCCATGCCTATTGCCCACTTTAATTCCATGAATGTCTAAATTGTATCTATCGATAAAGTGACCGTTGGACAGACAGAGTGATATACAAGGTCCTGCAAGTTGATTAATCGTCTAATACTGTCAGAACTGTAGCAATCTGGGATAAAACCAGATCCATATTGATTATGCTTCCAATAAGTTTTGACAAACGATTTGATCTTTTGATCACAGTTGAGCAAAGAAAGAGGCCGATAACCAGAAAGCATCTTCTCCTTTTTTATATATGCAGGACACCATATTATGACCACCTCCTTGTTTCTACGCTCATTGTCCATTTTATCAGCTCCACTTACTATATAGGTGCACTTTGTAGTTCTACAGTTACAGACTGTAGTCCATCTGTTTCTCTGCATACTTTGTTAGCCCCCTTTTACCCTGTTCTTCAGTGGTCAGGACCCCCATGGACCCTCACAGAGCAGGTACTATTTGGGTGGTGCTGAGAATGATTATTCTCCATTAGTTTGCACTGAAGTTCCTGTAGTTAACTAATAATAAGCCCCAGACTGTTGTCAGAAGAAAACCTGGTCCAAAATGGTAACTTTACAGGAAAAGGAAAAAACCCACTGTACTTTTAATGCAAGACGTCTTTCCAAGTCATTCTGGGCCGTTACTTTTGGTCCATTCTTCATGAAATTTACACACAATGTAAAGATCAACAAGGCACTTTCAAATTATGTCAAAAACCGAAAAATGATGCGAGGTTTTCTTCCGACAGCAGCGCTTAGTATGTAAAGAGCCTGGGTTTTTAAGGGGTTTAAGTTTACACTCATCCTCTTTTGGAAACAGTGGTATGAGCTATGATACATAGTCGCAGGTTTACATCCCTTTTGGTACACTAACTGAATAAGTAAGTGCAGGGAAACTAGTTAAATGTGCAGGAGGGGGCTTTGAACACGAAAGGCTCCAAAGGCTCTTCTTATTTGTTCTTTAATGATCCACATTTAAGGGTTTTCTTTACTGGGACAAGTTAAAGAATCTCAGAATGTTTGTTCTATAAAGAGCCTTACAACAGAGACCGATGGAGTTCAGAAGAACGGGAAGGAATGAGCGAGATTGAAGGATGTAGTTAAGGCGGTAGTGTTTTAGGATGAAATGATGGAGGAAAAGAGAGATGGATAGAGTGATAAGTCATAAAAGAAATAGCTGCATTCAGAGGGAGCCATTAGGTGCTGAGCTCCTGCTCATAACAGCCTGCCACGTAAGCTATTAGACCAGTCTGAGTGTGGAATTGAGGAGACTGGGCTTGTCCTCTTCCAAAAGTCCAGTCGAGCCATTGGAGACAAGTGATGCTGGATGAAGTGATGGGAGACAAAACAGGGATATGCCGGCTGGTGGAGGAGGCCGGGCGCTGTCCTTCGCCTCAGGTGTGCCTCGCCGAATTTACGGCGTAAACAGCAGCCGCGCGGCGAGTTTGGGATTCCGCACTAATTCCCACAAAATGCTTTTTATTACGGCCCCTGCATTCCTGCCCAACGCAGACGAACCCTATATGGACCAGAATGGAGACCTGCGCCCTCCGGAATGCTCCGCCAACCGCCGACCTCAGGAGTGCATCCATGGGCCTACGCGTGCTGTTGGTTCTCTATGAGGTGGGGTTCATCAGCATCAGGCCGGAAGATCCATGTAGATTATTGATCTACGCTATCTGATTCAATTGATCAGCAAGTTCTCCAACTCTTCATTAGTTGGACCTGGTTGTTAGTTGGACCTGGCTCCTTTTACAGCTCCCATTCATATTGTAAATGCATCGCTTCACTGGTTAGCAGTCTTCAAAGGTCCAGGTCAGATCCTAACTCATTCTTACCACAGCATAATTCTGTTTAAGCAATAATTAGCATCAAGAAAGTCTTTAATTGGTTGATTTACATGTTGCTGATTGGTCC